TGTGCTCCCCTTTCTCTTATTTTGCTCTGGCAGGAGGACTCTTTTTTTGTTGTGAAAATTCCTCTACCTTGCCATAATCTAAAAACCTTTTGCTGATGCCCCATCTAGCGTTCAGCAAAGACAAATGCAGTATCTCTATAGAGCAGAGTTAATTGGAAAAAAAAAAAAAATCCAGCATTTTTTTTCCAGCAAAATTAACCTTTTTTTTTTGTGGAAACAACATTGAGTTGACTTCAACAGAGTTTGAGACAGCCCAGGCAAAACGGAGACCTGTTACCAAACCCACTGCTCATTCTTCTAAGCAGTGATCCGAATCCTGTGAGATGCAGAGCTCCAAGCACTTCTACAGAAACCTTTGGACTCTGTGATGCCAGGTGTGCAGCCCACTGAGAACTAAGCCCAGAACAAACACTCTACATTCCTGGTTAATCACCAGATCARTTAGCACCGTGGTCAAGATGCTTCGATGCTTCAGCCCTGTCCACCTCACAGCTGCAAAGGGCTCTGATAAAACCACCTCCCAATGCAGCAGCACTCGGCTTAGGACCATTTGTGTTCTTAAGGAAGATTGTGACAACTGTTTTTGACATGACATCASTAACGTGGGTACTTGATAGAGGAACTGGCTTCAATTTGCTTGAACATCCTGAAGCCACAACTGCAGGAAGTTCTTCTCTTTTCTGTTTCACTTTCCTTTCCTGACGAGCCAATCTGGCCTCAGCTCCCACCATGAAGCTGCTGAACGCTGCTGGGTTCCTTGTTCTGGTGCCCACCTTGATGCCAGCTCTGGACCCCCTGAGCACCTCCCTCTTCATGGGGGGGGCCGCTGTCGCTTGGCAGCTCTTCCTGCCTGGCTCCTGGCTCAACTGCAGGGTCACCGAGTGCTGCAGGATGAGGGACACGCTGAACATCTCAGGTAAGGCGGTGGCATCACGAGCCAGCCCATCGGTGGCCCTTCCCTGGGGGATAAGGGCTTCCTTCTCCATGCCAGGCTTCTTTGGGGTGCTCGGAGCAGAGTTATGGTTTAGGCTCATGAAATAATCCCACGTCTTCATGAGACGGACACTCCAGTGGCTGGGGTGACTGGTATTCCCCAGCCCCACCAGTGGTTGCTTGCAGCGTGTGCTGGATGAGCAGCAATGAGCTCCAAGATTCAAAACACGTCGCTGAACGTGATGAATGGGCTGAATAGCGAGGAGTCCTCAGGGAAAGGGGAAGTTGGAAAGTCCAGGCCTGCAGGGCATGAGTAAATGGTCTAGAAAAAACAACACAGTCTTTAAACCATAAATTCCCAATTTTGCCACCTGGAAATCCCCCTTCCCTTTGTCAGGGGACTGCGGATAATGTTCCACTTCAGGGCTGGGCTGTGGGGTTTTAAACAACCCCTCAGCTGGTGGAGCCCTGTGTACCTCCAGTTACTTAATGTCACCTAAACTGCACTTTTCTTGGAAGTATTTTAGCCACCGAGACCCCAGGTGCAGCACTTATTATCAGGGGACGTGATATGGCAACAGAATCACACTTCTCTCTAATGTGAAGAATGTCAGATGCCTCCAAACCAGTTAATGACAATTTACGACATGCAGAGCATGTCTCCACGGTCAATCCTATCCCAAATCTTTATGGGAGCTGTAACACAGCCAGGGTTCCTGCCTAACCCCTGCCAACTGCTTGGTTCTCCAAAACGCCCTCAGAAGTAATTCAWGAGTTTGTGAATTAGATTATTTACTCATTCACAGTCTCACCRGGGACTGAAGGCAGGAATATTTGTTCTCCTCACTGGTCATCCAGTAGTAATAAAGAACAAAACAAGCAAGAAGAGGAATAATATGGCATTTACTGACTCTTTTCTCGCCCCTCTAGTTTTGAAGACGGATTTGAAGCAGAAAGTCTTCGGGCAGCACCTTGCTGGCCAAATAGTTCTGAGAGCTCTGAGCGCAAACGTTTATTCTGGTCAGCCCAAGAAGCCTCTGGTCATGTCCTTCCATGGCTGGACAGGAACAGGCAAGTCGTTTGTGAGCAGCATCATTGCAGAGAACCTCTACCGGCCTCATATTGCACGGAGGAGGTTCGTGCACCACTTCAGCACAGTACTGCACTTCCCACAYGCCTCACACCTCCACCTCTATAAGGTATTTGCGGCTTTTATCTTGTTTTCTTGAGGCAATTTATCTCCGTGGATGTAAAACGCCGGTGATTTTGCCTCTTCTCACAGGAGCAGCTGCAGAATTGGATCCGGGGGAAYGTCAGTGCCTGTCCAAGGTCGCTCTTCATCTTCTCTGAAATGGACCAGATGCCACACGGCCTCATAGACTCCATCATGCCCTTCCTCGGCTACCGCAAGGAGATCAATGGTGTTTATTACGGCAAGGCAATATTCCTCTTCCTGAAGTAAGGAAATCCAGAGGCCAAAAAGGATTACAATGCCCCAGAATCAGACACGATTCCTCCATGGATTATCCCTGGAAAATCTATTTGCTGAACGTTATCCCAGCTACGAAGGGGTAACGTGAGTGAGTCTAAACCTCAAGCTTCAGGCTGGTTTACCTCTTGTCTTGCTGTTACGTTCAAACACGTAGCACAGCCTGTTTCAGTGCAAGGCAGTGATTAATAAACCAATAACAGCTTCTTAGGGAGCCTTTTGGTGGCACCTGAGGGTAAAATCAGACCCTCTCTGCCAAAAAGTCCAACTTAGCAGTTTAAACCACCGTCTGGGGGGTGCTCACCCATCAGACACTGCTTTAATGTGGAGGACAGTGTCACTTGTCACTTCCCACCTCTGAGCAACTGCTACCCGTGAGAATGGGCTGCTTCCTTTCTGCTGGGCAATCCCACTGCCCAGACCAGCAATAAAGGTGGCAAAGACACCGCTCTAACGATCCTGTGAATCTCTCTCCTCACAGCAATGCCGGGGGAGATAAAATAACAGAGTTTGCTCTTGATTATTGGAGGAGGCAGAAAAGAAGGGAAGAAATTCCTTTAAAGGAGCTGCAGTCTCTGATGTCTGAGGAAATCTTCCACGACAAGAACAGTGAGTGTCTTTGGGGTCCCACGTCCCAAGCCTACTGCTTTGCACCGACTCCATTCTCTCTTGCAGGTGGTTTCTTCCACAGCCAGCTGATCCAGAAGAACCTAATTGACTATTTCGTCCCGTTCCTTCCTCTTGAATATAAACACGTGAGAAAATGTGTCCGGGAGGAGCTCCGCTTGGGAGGCCACCTCGAGGATGAAGACCTCATGACAGAGATTGCCTTGGCAATGACTGACTATCCCAGYGAGGAAAGACTCTACTCCAGCAAAGGCTGCAAGACTGTGGCCTCCCGAGTGACTCTGAGTGTCTAGGCTTTCCAAAGCCAAATTCCTGGTGTTCTTTCCATGGGAATTTGGCAGATGAAAGAAACAATAAATCCCTTTCCCTTCTCTGCCTCCCAAACCACACAGTGTTCCCTGAAGACACCTGAGCTCTTGCATACCTTATTCAAGAGCCCTTAAATAGGCTTCAATTCAAGCCCTTGCAGTCTTATTCAAGAGCCCTTCAATAAATGCATGGGATAATGTGACAGTCGTGGCTTAGAGTAAGCAGAAGAGGGATATATGTGGCTGATGAGATTTGCTCTTCTTGCCCCAGAAATACTTCCAAACAAAAGTATTTTCAAGGGGAAACCATCCCACTTCTGTTGCAAGACTGTTTGTACCTTAAGTCCTAGCACTGTCCTAATTGGTAAGATTTATTCGTAAGTCATCATTTTCAGTAATCACATCTGCTTGGTTTTAGACTGATTTTCACCCTTCTGTCTCAAAGCACAACGGAGACCAGAAAAGGAGACCTGCTCCTGCTTTTTATGTATGGAAACTGAAGCACATAGGAGGACACCGAGCTGCCCAACTCATCCAACAGGCCTTGGTCGGAGGCCGTGGTTCCAGCTCGGGGTTCCCTCTGGGAAGCTCTCCTGCTTCACCCTGATGTTACCCCCTACCACCAGGAGAACATCGGAAATGCTGTGCACCATTGCCTCCGATCTGAACATCAAAACTWGGTAAAATTCGTAAGTGAATAGTCAGGACACGGAGTTACAGTATTTTTGATATTTTGATATTTTCCCCAGACCCAAATACATGACAAAAAAATAATACTAGAAAAACTGGTGAAAATGCTTTCCTGAAGCATAGGAAGCTCCATTGGAATTTGAGGAAAATTGTGAGGGTGCCAGAGCCCTGGAACAGGTTACCAGGGTGGCTGTGGAGCCTCCTTCTCTGGAGATCTTCCAAACCCACCTGGATGCCGCCCCATGCTCTGGGTGTCCTTGTTGGAGCAGGGGGCTGGATGGTCTCCAGAGGCCCCTTCCAACCTCAACCACTCTGTGATTCTGTGTGAACTCCTTTGTATCTTGGCACCAGTGTTGGCTCTCACCKTGACCATTAGAGCCTCCTTCCGTTCTAACCACCTGCTGTGACCCACGCACTGGGGATGGGTCACACGTCCAGGGACACTATTTACAATAAYGGATCCAGCAGGCTCTTCCCGGGTGGCATTTCTCATGGAGGCTGTGGCGCTCAGCCCTACCTGCTGTCCCTCGCGATGTGCTCAGTGCCCGACATGCTCCTGGTGACGGTCCCTRTGCCTGATGGTCCTTCCATGATCGTGTCCCAGGTGCACTGGTCAAAACAGGGGGTTCATGGTGAAAACGGGAGGTTCATGGTGAAAACAGGRGGTTCATGGTGAAAACAGGAGGTTCATGGTCAAAACAGAAGGTTCATGGTGAAAACAAGGAGGTTCATGGTCAAAACAGGGGGTTCATGGTGAAAACGGGAGGTTCATGGTGAAAACAAGGAGGTTCATGGTYAAAACTGGGGGTTCATGGTGAAAAYGGGAGGTTCATGGTGAAAAGAAGGAGGTTCATGGTGAAAACGGGAGGTTCATGGTGAAAAGGGGAGGTTCACGGTGAAAACAAGGAGGTTCACGGTCAAAACAGGGGGTTCATGGTGAAAACAGGGGGTTCATGGTGAAAACAGGGGGTTCAAGGTGAAAACGGGGTTCATGATGGCCTCGTGATGGAGGGCAAGGAAAGGCCCTGGCACGGAGGGGACACCGCGTTCCCACATGAAGGTGCCGGCGCCTGTTGTGCTCCGAGGGGCGGAGGACACAGAACAGGGACAAGGATGGGGCTCAGGGAGACGCTGCCACGGCAGCCTCTTCCCCCTGCACACAGCAGCGCCCCTCGCACCACTGCACCCACGACGTCATGCCGAGCCCCTGACGTCACTCCCCTCACGTCGACGTCACTCCCCTCACATCACCCGAAAAGCGAAGCCCGCGCCACTCCTCCTTTGCCCCACTCCAAGATGGCGGCGGCAGCGTCGCTCGCGCGGGCGCCCGCCCCAAGATGGCGGCGGGGCGGGCGGGCGATGCCGGCGCCCGCCCCAAGATGGCGGCGGGGCGGGCGGGCGATGCCGGCGCCCGCCCCAAGATGGCGGCGGGGCGGGCGGGCGGCGCGGGAGCCGCCATGCCGCGGGCGGCCGCGCTGCTCTGGCTGCTGCTGCCGGCGCTCGCGGCGCTGGAGCCGCTCAGCGTGGGCCTCGCCATCGGCGCCGCCTCGGCGCTCACCGGCTTCCTCTCCTACCCCAGCTTCTACTGCAGCTACGTGGAGTGCTGCCCGGGCGAGGGGCAGCGCCTCAACGCCTCCGGTAAGGCGGCGGGCGGGAGGACGGGCCGCGCGGGGCGGCCGCCGCGCTCACGGCCCTTGTCTCCCCGCAGCGCTGCGGGCGCAGCTGGCGGCGCGGCTCTTCGGGCAGCACGTGGCCCGCGACGTGGCGCTGCGCGCGGCGGCGGGCGCGGCGCGGCGGCGCAGCCCCCGCAAGGCGCTCGTGCTCTCGCTGCACGGCTGGGGCGGCACGGGCAAGAACCTGCTGAGCCAGATCGTGGCCGAGCAGCTGCACCCCGCCGGGCTGCGCAGCCGCTTCGTGCACCTCTTCGTGGCCACGCTGCACTTCCCGCACCGGCACCTCGTCAGGCTCTACCAGGTGAAGCACAAGGGGGAGACGCGCTGGGTTTTGGGGGGGATTCATCCGCAGGGAGCTCCGGAYGGGGGGCTCCTCGCTCCGCGTCCAAAATCTGCGTGTTTCTGAGGCCATCCCGGCTCTTGGGAAAGCGGAAGAGCCCTGAGCGCCTGGGAAGCGAGAGCGGGTTTCCCGGCTCCGCTGGGGCTTCCGAAACCCCCTTCCCAGAGCCAGACCTCCTGTCTCCGCCTTGGAGCGTCTCCCGGCCTGGTAGGTTGGCATTTGGTGTGAAGAGACCCTGCCCTCAGGAAAGGCCTTTCTCRTCTGCAAGGCTTCTGCCTCCAACCTAGTTTGCGTCACCTTGTCCGTTCCTCGAGCAGAAAGGCTGGGAAAGATTTGTGAGYGGGAAGAGAATTGGTGGGTCAACTCGGTGCCATGAGGTAAAGGGATCTTTGGGGACGGAAAACATAAAACCTGGGAGCGTGTGACAGCAGTCTCCAAAAGGAATCCTTTGGRTCTGTTAAGTACAAACCTCCTGCTGTAAATCCCCAAGAGACAGAGGTTTTCCAGTGTTTCCTGAGCTCTTTTTTTCCCTAGGAGCAACTGCAGAAATGGATCCAGGGCAATGTCAGTGCCTGTCCCCACTCAGTCTTCATTTTCGATGAGATGGACAAGTTGCACCCGGGCCTCATTGATGCCATCAAGCCCTTCTTGGATTATTATGAGCAGGTTAATGGGGTGTCTTACAACAAAGCTGTCTTCATCTTCCTCAGGTCTGTAGCACCTTTTCCAGCCGTTTCGAGGTACTGAAACAAATCTGTGTGGTCCTGAGTGCAGCTCCTGTGAGAGCTCCGATTTTTGGGAAGTTCCCTGGGATGGCTGCACTGATGGCAATTTGTTAAGAACTGGAGACTTGCCATGAGCTTTGGGTTAAGGGTTTCTGTTTTGGTGAGGATTCCATGAAGATAAAKGATTTAAATGGCCAGTTAAAAAGAAACTCCTGCTTGGTCGCTGCTCCCTGCTGTAATTTTCTTTCTTTCACCAACAGCAATGCAGGTGCAAATTTAATCAATCAAGTGGCTCTCGACTTCTGGAGGAGTGGGAGGCAGAGGGAAGAGATTCAGCTGAAAGACTTGGAGTCAGTGCTTTCTGTAGGAGTCTTCAACAACAAGAATAGTAAGTCACTTTTCCCTCAAAATGTGAAAATCCTTGACTTCCTAAACACAGGGTTCATCTCTGCAGTCTGTATCTCAACCTGCCTTGCATTTGCTCTGCTTCCTGTGCCCCCACATTGGTACAACGGGACCCATTCTGCTCAGTCCCTTTGCTCCAGGGCCACGTCCTCACAAGCAGGTTCTTGGTGCAGACACCCTAAAGGGCAGCGGTGTCAACTAATCCATCCAGCTCACAAGCAGTCCCTCATCCGTCCAGCTGCCTGGTGCTCCCTGCTTCCTTGGGGAGAGTGATGGAGATAACCCACTTCAGGAAATGGGTGCYCTGCAGATCCTATCTTCTGTGGGCTTCATCCTAGAGAACCTCCTTCCTATAGATAACATATTTTTGTCTTTCTCCCTCTGCCAGGTGGTCTGTGGCACAGCAGCCTCATTGAGAAAAACCTCATTGACTACTTTGTTCCYTTCCTGCCCCTGGAGCACAAGCACGTCAAGATGTGCATCAGGGCTGAAATGCTGTCCCGGGGCCACCCCGTCGATGAGAAGGTGGTTGAAGAGGTCATAGAGGAGATGACTTTCTTCCCCAAAGAGGAGAAAATCTACTCGGATAAAGGCTGCAAGACTGTACAGGCCAAGCTGAATTTTCACTGGGACGCTGTGATGAGAGACGCAAAGGCTGAGAGCTGATGGGCCTTGGCTCTCCCAAGCACTTTCAGGGCTTTTTGCAATTTGTACATTTGCATTTGAGCTTCTCACTGTTGCGAGGAGTATGATGAAAAGCTCAGAGTGAGCCAGGTGGGCCCTTTATTTTATTATGTTTTCAAACTTGAAAGCCCCCTGCTCATCTCTGAACTGGCAGACACCCAAATGTTGCCTTCCCCCCTCCCTTCCCTCAGAAATTTTTGGTGAGTGGAGTCTATATAACGCTGGACACAACCTCTCCTCTTTATCCTCCTAAGTGCTGGGATTATTAAATACTTCATTTCCCTTCCACACAAAGTCTAGCCTGGAGCAAAGGAGCAAACCAAAGGAATTCTTCCAGGCACCTGTRGACTCCCTTCCTTGGAGGAAGAGGGTTTAGTTCAACGGCCAGTGAAGTCAAAGGTCTTGTGATGGTTTTAGACCTACAACAGCATCTGCAAGGGTAAATTCCTTGAGGTAGCACCAGGAAGAAGCTGGCATCCTCTTAAGATTCCTGCCTCCTTAGAGCAGTTTGATGCCACTGTGGTTCATCCAGGCGAGTTATTCAGGGACGGAGGGGCAGGATTACACTGTTGTCTGACTGGCATCACTCGCTGTCTCCTCCAGCCATGCAGGAAGCCACCATGAGCTCAGGGATGTCTGTTACTGAACTGCAGGAAAGGGGAGAATGCAGCTGTTTGCCCCCATCATCCTTCTGGAATAGAAGAAATGGTGATTTTTTTAGAAATATTTTTCTAACTAGGGGGGCTGAGTGCAGTGGTGTGGGAATTGGAGGATGTTAAAACACACACTAGGCCAGTCTTACAGCTTGTCAGGCTGATCTTCACCAGTCCCTCCCAGCTGCACCCCACAATCCTGCTCTCCCCTTGCTGCAGGACAYGGGCATGGCAGAGGACACTTTTTTAATAGCTTATTTTTTTACTGAAGTGTAAGCAGTAGGAATACAGAGCCCTGCCAGGTTCTTGTAGAGAAAGGAGTCTGGCAATTTGGAACAGAGCAACGTGCCCATACCTTTATCATCCATATATTTTTTTGACCAGATAGCTTAGTCTAAGACAGAAGTGCCTCTCATACACGTGGATGGTAACGTGTCTTAAACTGACCCAAGGGAGAGGGCTCCTCCTGTGCTGCAGCATCAACTCCCTYGTACTCCACTGTGCTTTAAAGGATGCAAAACTTGGAGCTCTCACCACTGCTACGTTAATGCAAACTGCAGCTGAGAACTTAATGCTTAGGCTAGCCTAAAAGTGTCCGTTTTCTCTTACAGCCTCCTGTGGAGTTTGTCAGACATTGGCAAACTGCTCAGAGTGAGGCAACCTCCCGAGCTGACTGCCTCTTAACCTTGGGCTGTTGGACGGTCCCTTTTGGCATCTGAGGTTTTGTRTAAATGCTGCAACTAGTTTCAGTCTGAATGCAAAATCCTTGTGCAGTCTAAAAACAAATATTACTACTGTATTGCAGTCGGAATAAACCTTGGCACTCTCCTCTCTTGCTCGAGTGATTGTGAGCTACAGAAAATACAACTTGATGCAATTTCCAGGCAGCTACCTGGCAGCTTTCTGGGAAGCTTCATTCATTTTAAGTAATTTGCTCAGAAGAAGGGATTGCAAGCAGGCTAAAACCTGCCAAGTCACCCAGGATGGCAGTAATTTCAGTAGTTAAGTAAATAAGCACCTAGGAATAAGCCTTAATCTCTGTGTGTTCTGCTTTATTGTTATTAGCCCTGTGCCAGGTGCTGCCAGCCCAATCAGCCTCACAGAGCTTGTTTAACTGCTCTTCTGCTTAGTGAGGAAAGTTAATATTCCAGACTGCTCTATTGGGGAAAGTTGGGGTAGGACTAYAGAAATTCCCACTATTGCCACTGGTTGGAGCATCGAGAGCCTCCCTACTGCTGAAAATGACCCAGTGTGTGACACAAAGCTCAGTTCCAGGAGGGTTACAGCTCCAGGCTCCTGTTTATACCTCACAGAATCCTCAATGTTGGAAGGGACCTTTGGAGATCCTCTACTCCAAGCCCCTGCTCACGCAAGGTCACCTAGAGCCTGTGGCMCAGGGTTTTATCTAAGCGGGTTGGGAAGATCTCCAAAGAAGGAGACAACAYAACCTCTCCTGGCAGCCTGTGCCAGGGCTCGGGCACCCTCCCTGCCAAGAAATGTTTCCYCAAGTTCCTGGGGAACTTTTGGTGCTTCAGGTTGTGGCCGATGCCTCTAGTTCTGTCAGTGGCCACCGCTGCAAAGAGGCCGCCCCGTCCTCCTCGCTGCCTCCCTTGGGGTATCTACAGACCCTGCTCAGGTCCCCCCGCAGCCTCCTTCTCTCCAGGCTGGACAGGCCCGGCTCTCCCAGCCTCTCCTCACAGGGCAGATGCTCCAGGCCCCTGATCCTCCTCGTAGCCCTGCGCTGGCCTCTCCCCAGCAGCTCCACATCCCTCCTGTCCTGGGGAGCCCAGCACTGGGCACAGGCTCCAGCTGTGGCCTCMCCAGGGCTGTGTAGAGGGGGACGATCCCCTCCCTCGACCTGCTGGAGACGCTCTTCTTAATGCACCCCAGGATCCCGCTGGCCTCCTTGGCCACCAGGGCACACTGCTGCCTCATGGTCATCTTGTCCACCACGACGCCCAGGTCCCTCTCTGCAGAGCTGCTCTCCTGCTTAGCCTCACTGAGCAGTTAGTTGCTCCTGTTGTTGGAGACCACGTTTCTAGCTGTGCACAAAGAAACTCATGCAGGGGGGTGTCGCAGAACCCTGMGGGTCTTCTGCACCAGGGCTGCCCTGGGCCTGCACCCCAGCAGTTGCTTGTGGTGGACTTTGGCAAAACGCAGCAAAATCCGATCTCAGCAACAGCTCAGCTGCTCTCACCCACCCACTGACCTGTTCCTCTAGGGCTTGGACCTTTTCCCCTCTCTGACATTTCCCCTGGAATAGTCTGCTCCAAACAAAACGTTAATAAGTAACAGCCAAAGTTACCCAGTCACAGCACAGAGCAGACAGGATCTGCTTGGAAATGAGACAGTCCAAGGCGGGAGAGAAACACTGGAGTGATTTTCAGCAAAGCTCTTCCTTTCAGCCAGCTGGGGGGAATTCTCCCAGCCAGCCCTGCTCTTTTCAGGCACAGAAAATACACAGCAGAGAGGTGGCCTTCAGTCTTTGACCTTCATTCCTAACACTTGCGAGTATTATCTAGTAATTACACTGCAGCGGCAGCTAAAGGCAGAACTGCGACTGTATCTAATGCTAATTACCGTTTCTAATACAGTCCTGCCTCGCTGAGCTGCCCTTTGGTGACAAATTACCAGGTGGCAGTAAAAGTTTATTGTTTTCACGTCTGCATTTTCCCATCACCAGTCGAGCAAGTCATTCACTACAATCAGCACGTCAAAGAAACCATCAAACCACCCTGTTCAAAGCACCCCTTTGCTGACAAATACGAGCAGTGATCAGTTAATTAGCCCGTTAGACACTTCAGAGCACAACTGGACACCTGCCCAAGGCACTGGCCTGCTTTGCTCCTGCAGAGAATAGCTCAAAATCCTGCTAGCAGGAGCCCGTGCARCTTGAACGCGGGCTACAGCATTCCCAGGATCTGGGATCATGGGTATCACGGTGGGAGGAAGGCGACAAGCAGGGTGTTATCTACCCCCGAGGAGGCAAATTCCTTTCTGTGACACTGTTCAGACGAGCACATCTCGGGCTACTCTGCAAAAAGCACAGGGATGTCGTTAGCAGCAGTGCCACACCAACCTCCAGGCTCTCCCTTTCACTCCATGACACACACTCCTGTCTCCTCCCCGTCTCCATCCCATTGCATCCCAAAAGGGAAAGGCACAGCTGAAAACTTGGGCCAGAAAGGCAGTCTGCTCATCCACAAGCGGCACCTTCATGCAGAATTAACATCAAACAAACAGAGGAAGGTAATTAAGAAACACTTCTAGTGAGAAAGGTTTATTTTGAGTAGAAACTGGAATGAAAAAGAAACTCTCAGCAGTGCTCACATTTAGAAGCAAGTCGGACAGTCTGTTTGCAGTGACTTTTTTGATGCATTTCACATTTTTTCCCCCGAGTGCCTTTGGACCTGCCTTCATACCTGCCTCAAAGGCACCCGGCATTGCCAGCAYGGGCCAAAGGGGAAACCCTGCAGGCAAACCTTGCAGTTTAACTGTTAGGTGAAGGGGAGAAAGCTCTTTTCCTTCCCCCTGGTGCTGCATTTACCACGCACGGGCCTCCCATTGCCTTACAGACAGGCCATGAAACCAGCCCAGCAGTCAGCAGCTTTCCTTCCTTCCTACCCAAGAAAATCATTCCTAGGGGAGCACAATTTCACACAGGAAAATAACCAAAACAGCAACCAACTGCACGTGCTAGTCACAGGCTTTGACTCGCTTCCTCTATTTAATCTCGTTAAAGTCCTCCCTTTGGAGCAGCGAAGCTGTTTCAATTAGTAAACACACACACCCCACCTCGTAACGTGGTTATCAGAATATTCCCACACAAGCCCAGTGAAGCCCTTCCAAGACTCTGATTAAGTTTCTTAAATATTGCCTGGAGATCTCGCAAATCAAACCAAACCCCAATTAAAATCAGGTCATAATCTCAGTCCTACCACACGTGCCTATGATCTGCTAAGCAGTTCTGGCAATCAACACACAAGCCGAGGTAAGTTTGGTTCTGATAAAGTCCTCACCTTCATAAAAGTTCATTCCTTACCTTGACAGCACAAGATCAAAGGGAGCCGTGACTACTGACAGAATAAAAATGCAGATGCACTACCACTTATTTACACACCAGTTAAAAATAATGTTTCTTTTAAAAAAAAAAGTGCTTAAAAATGAAATGTCCCGGTTTCTCCACTTGGTGATTAAATTAATTGGCTTCTTGGCAGATCGCAGCAATAAAGCATCAGAAGTCATAGTAATAATCCAGTTTGGCATACACAGTTTTACATCCCTTGTCTGAATAAATCCTCTCTTCCCTGGGGAAGTAGGTCATCTCATCGGCTATTCTGGTTAAAATGTCCTCATCCACGGCGTAGCCCCGTGCTTCCACCTCAACCCTGACGCACATTTTCACGTGTTTGTATTCCAGGGGCAGGAAGGGAACAAAGTAGTCGATGAGGTTTCTGTCGATCAAGGTGCTGTGCCAAAAACCACCTGCAAAGGGGGAGAGATGGGAGGGTTGTTGGTTCTCTAGTTAAACAGTTCTTTAGGCTAAAAGGGAGCGGTCTCACATCCTACTCCTGGATGCATTTACCCGGTCACTGGTAAATTAGAGCCCTGTGACAGGCAAGAAAACTCAAATATAACCCCATTCTCATAGTTCTTTGTGCATAAAGTCCAGGGCAGACTCCTACATGTGATTTTTTTGGAGCTCTAGTGCATAAATACGTTGTTCACAGCTGCTGGTCTCTGCCCTCACTTCTCTCCCCTGTGGAAGTCCAGATTTTCACCCTCCTACACTAGGGTCTTGCTCCTTTTTGGAGCTTTCATGCAGTATTTAAAAAAAATGTTCTSTTTCTCCTGCTGATATTAAAGCTTAATCATCTTAAAACCCCTTTTCAATGGGAATTCCATGCAAGAAAACCCAGGAAGCCCTGGACTCCAAACAGCAGGGTCAGTGAAAGCAGCAGTTCCTATGGGCTGCCTGAAGGCTTTTCCAGCCTCAGCAAGACAGGTGACTTAGCTGGCCTGGAAGCAAGACGCTGTCTTSCCCATAACTAAACACTCTGTGGTCATCAGCTAACACTAAACCCAGTCTCGGTACTAGACAGTGGCTCCCAAAAGCACAGAAGCAATAAGCAGCAATTACACACAATACCCTTGTGCAGTACTGGGGAAAAGCTGGGGAGCTCTCAAGCCAGGCAGGGATTTACAACCTCGAAAATAAKCAAAGTTGTACTCACTGTTCTTGTTATTGAAGACAGACACAGACAGCGCGTTCTGCATGTCTGTGAGCTGTATCTCTTCCCTCATTTTTCCTTTTCTCCAAAAATCTAGTGTCACTTCTGTTATTTTTTCAGCTCCGGCATTGCTAAGCAAAGAGAAAACRAAGATTGTTGCTGGGGGCAGTTTTGGGCACTGATTGCACAGAACGGTCAACCYGGGAGGCCACTTCTCACCTGAGGAATATGAACATGGCTTTCCTGTAAGACACGCCGTTCAGCAGCTCGTAGTAGTCCAGAAAGGGCTTGATGGAGTCGATGAGTCCYGCATGCATTTTATCCATTTCATCAAATATGAAGAGCGATCTGGGACACAGGCTCACATTTCCCCGAATCCACGACTGCAGCTGGTCCTGGGAGGCATAAAAAAAAAGCTATTGATAAAGTTCATTTAAAAAGATGGAAAATAAATCTTGTATTTATTGACTTTTGTCCTGTTTTATTTAAGAAGCCAAGGGTTTTAACAAAACTATACTAAAATGTCATTCTGTTTCTGCAAAGTTAAGATTCAAACCACAGATATCAAGAAAGAGGATTCAGCAAACATGAAACCTCCTCAGGGAAAAGACATTCCTGCGAACACAGCAGGAAGGAAAGACTCCACACTCGGACAAGGGACAGTGCCACCAAGGACGAGCAATTCAAGCGAAGTCCCCTCAAACAGGTTGCCTACTTTGGGCAGCACTTTAGTCTAAGTGTATTTAGGTGTCCAAACAACAAATAACATAAACTTGCTACCCAAGGAGCACCAGAGAGAAATTACATTTATAGAGCGAGTCACTAGCACGCATACAAACAGAATTAATCTCTCAGGACTGAGTTGTAATTACGCAGAAGTGAAGATGACAGCAAACCCTTCTTAAAACACAATGTTGTTCTTAAAACCCTAAGGAAGCATTTTTAAGCCAAAACGAAACATTAGCCTTTCAGATTCTCTCACTTAAGTGTTACATTTAAGATCAATAATGGAAAGAAACCAGGGAGGAGTTGCTGTGTTTGGCAGATGAATGAACATTAAATGCTTGGACCGGTTTCAATGATTCACCACTTCCTGAGATTCCCTGTCTAATCAGTCCCCAGCCACCCAAGGCAGTGCAGGGAGATGACGCTGGCTGCCCTGCAGGTAAGAAGTGACAGTTCCTCCTCCTGCCTTAGGCAGCAATTTCCCCACGCTGTGAATTCACTTCAAGTCAAAGACAAAAAATGGTCCATTTTATTTTGCAGCAGCTCAGTAGCAAGAAGGGCAGCAGAAGGCTGTAAAGAGGGAATATTTCCTCTGTGCAGAAAACAGGCTTGCAGGCTCTCCTGTTCCCATTTTCAACACATACAGACTGAAGACAACCACAGGAYACAGCATGGCTCAAACTCTGCTGCCAGCCCTGCTAGAATAAGTCACAAACACAGAAAAGGGASATTCAAACTGTGTCCTCACGGGATGGCCACCCGCCAGGCGCTGCACAGACACGTCCTGCAGACCGGCAGATCCATTCCTGCTATTTTTGCCTGCACCTTTCCAGAGATGGTCTTTTCTAATTATATTTCACAGCTGGGGAACAGATACAAGGGAAAAATAAGTAATCTACGCAGCGTGCGAGGAAGGAGAAAGGTGCTCCCACTTCTTCGATGTCTGTCTGGGGTACCTGACATACTTGAAAGCTCCCAGCTGCTTCTCCAGAGTCACAAAATCTCATTTGTTTTTGTGGTGCCCAGCAGGTTATCACTCACCCTGCTGAACACCCTTCCCTGCTGCTCTAGGCCGACATCCCTAGACAGAGCACGCAGCAAAGAAAAMTAACCACGACCATCTAGAAAACGATCAGTCGTCTCTAAAGAGAGGCTCAAAACATGTGCAAAAAGCRCTTTAAATTCCTGCGAAATCAGTCCTGGTGTATGTCAGAATTCACCTAGGTCTATGCAGGGGATCATAGAGCTGGCACGGGCTTCATTTCACAGGGCAAAGCAGCCCCTTGTCTTCCAGCCCCRAGCTGCGGATGTGTCAATCACCACCAGAGATAGCGCTGCAGAGCGACACGCTCCTACCTTGTACAGGTTGACGCTGTCCGCRTGAGGGAAATGCAACGTGGCGACGAACTGGTGCACGTATTTGCTCTTGAGGCCTCGCTTGTAAATGCTTTCAGCAACAATCTTGCTGACGAAGTTCTTGCCCGTGCCGGTCCAGCCGTGCAGGGAGAGGGCCAGGGGCTTCTTGGGGTTGGTGTTGTTGAGGAAGCCCTTGACGGCCTTCACGATCACCTTGCTCGCCAGGTGCTGCCCGAAGAGCTTCCTGTCCAGGCTCTCCTGCAGGCCTGCGAGGGGCACAGAGAACACGGTGAGAAGGGGGAATATGAGGGGAGCTTGAGTGCCGCTCGTGCCAGGGCGCGGGGCAAAGGGCCGGCCSMGCTGCGRGGCCCTGGCCGGGGCGCACCGGCGGCGGCGCGGCGGTCGTGGTGCTGCAGGCAGCACTCGCGGAAGTAGCAGTAGAGGCTCGGGTAGGAGATGATGCCCGTGAGGGCGGAGGCGGCGGCGCCGGCGAGGGCCAGGCCCAGGCTGATGGGCTCCACGGCGCGCGCCGGGCCCAGCAATGGCAGCAGCGCCAGCAACGCCGCCAGCGCGTCCCGCCGCGGCCGCATCGCCCCGCCCGGCACCGGTACCGGCGCCGCCGCTTCCGCCGCCACCGGGGGAGGGGCGGGCGGAGGCGGCGCCCAGCCGGGCGGTGCCTGTGGGGGCCGCCATGTTGGCGGCGGCGCCTATGGAGGCGGCCATGTTGGCGCCTGTGGCGGCGGCCATGTTGGCGCCTGTGGCGGCCCCTATGGAGGCGGCCATGTTGGCGCCTGTGGCGGCGGCCATGTTGGTGACGCGCCGCGGCCCTGTGGTAATCCACCCGGGCTGGACCCGCGGGGAGAAAGGGACCGGATTTACCCCAATTAATTAAATGAGAAATTTGGGTCTTTCCCCCTCCCACGCCGGGGTAGACCCTCCCCCTGAACAGACATCAACACCTTCGCTGCCACTGCCACCACAAGCGCTGAGCAACTCCGTGCACGCTTCCTTGAAAGCAAAACTGCCACTTAAGATAATTGAAAAACACTTTTATTATTTTTAATTCCATGATCTTCCCTCAGGTTACCTCACAGGAAAGGTCCTCTCAGGCTGGGCCTCTCCTCCTGCCACAGCTGGAGACGCCTGGGCATGAGATTTTCCTCCCCTTCACACAGTTACATCCCGGTCCAGCTTTCCTAGTCTTCACAACTACATAAACTGCAAGGACCTGCTATAGAAATAACTCTACAGGGAGGAAAAGATGCAAAACAACACAGTGCACCATCATAAAAAGCATAAGCCTCCCTTGCTGAGTGTGCACTGTCAGCCCCAGCCACTGAACGTGCGGCATCTTACACTGCTCTGCACAGCAAAAGTCCCTGGGAATGGAGAAATCTCTTGGAAAGATAATTCTAGCAAGGTGGCCTTAATACTTCCCATAATGTTTACAAGTCAACTGCTTTTAAAAAGATATTTTTTCTTTGTATTTTTAAGAGCATGTAAGAATCTGTAAACAAGCTTAATTTCGCACTAAAAAGTACCCAGCTCATGTTTGCACAAAAGAGTTTTATAACTGAAAATAAGTTATACAAAATATTTTACTGGCTGAAGGGTTGACCACGAGCTGCAACCTGATTCACTACAGGATCTCAACAAGAAAAGCCTTGTAGTTAACATCAGCGGTGAGGGTAGTGATTCTCACCCCCTCCACAAGTCACTGACACAAGATCCTGCGCTGATGGAAAATAAAAGCTCCTGCAAAGACTCCAGACAAGCTCCTCATCAGTATCGCCTATTCATCTTCTTGAACTTCTCATAGTGATAATCATCTGTGGCTTTTTCATTGGGCGGACGTTTGCGATTTGGAGGAGATCCTTCAAAAGAAATACAAGAAAATATTATTTCCTGTCCTTTCACATATGTAACAGAACGGAAGAGATGTTCTCTTAACACTATCACCTTTCCTATGAATTCTCCTAAAGCCACCCACTACTGACAGCCCCTTGCTGCAAGGAATTTGGTTATTTCCTTAAGTCAATGCTCCTTAACTCAACGCCTCTAGCTACTCCAGCCCTGTCCTCACTCCCTTAGCAATCAAATTTGTTAATGTTTCAATCCTGACCTTATGCTGCTGCAGCCTTTGATATCGTTAAAGATACCATCTATCCAGGTGGCTTCATGTGTGACCTAGCAGGGTATAACCATGTGCCAGAGCCTCCCCTGGGACTTCAAATACAGATTGCTCCACTTCCCCACTATCTCTGCACACTCACATGTAAGAGAAGGCAAGAGGAGCTACATCATTACTCTGTGCAAGATCTCCAAAGAGCTTCAGTATCTCTACTTAAAAAAAGAAATCTGTTATTGGGAACTTACGCTCAGGTTCTGGCCTCTCTGTGTCCCCCACTCTCAGTGGACGGGGCTTTGGTTCTTCTTTATTCCTTCTCACTGGTGCATTTAGCTCCTCATGATAAACTGAGAAAAGGAAGACATCAGATATGGAGTATTACAGTTTTTCAGTAGTGTAATCCAAACACACGCATCTCTGCACCATTTGCTACAACTAAGAAATGACACAGCTTCACAACAGGCGCTCTTGTAATTAGTTTCTAGGAATAATCAATGCATGCAAGATGGGCTCCATCAAACTTCAGTAGCACTAGTTCATCAGAAGTGGTTGCAAGACTCCTCATTTCCTCTGGAGCACACAGGTCTGACTCCAGATCCCTGCTGCAGGCGGGGTTAGGCCCATTGGAAGGCTGCCTTTCCTCCAGATGGCTGCAGCATGAGAGGCTCTCCAGGAAATTAATTCCCATCTCCTGTCTATTAAGATCTATGTTTGCTTGACCACCTGTCTGCTTTGGCAACCTACAGAATAGCTTCTCTCCATCGTAAACTATCTTTTATAATCACAGGCTGGGCAGGCTTTCCCAGCACATGTTGGAGATATAACTTAAAGAAAAAGTCTTAAAATTTATGAGGCATAGGCAAGAGACTGTCAAGGGAGTTCAAGAGCAGAAGGTTAAGCCCTAAGTACTATGTCCTTCTCCTTCTTGTTTACGGATGGGGAAAAAAAAGGCCAAACCAGATGGGTATCCCAGAAAAAGATATCAGACAGCTGTTTGTGCTGATACATGAGTTAATTTATCCTGCATCCGACCGCATCCCAACTGACTGCTTCTCTTCAGCAGAAGAGCAGGTCACACCTGGGTCAAGAGAGCTCTGCAAGACTTACATCTGTTGTGCTGGACATAGTTGACAGCCATGTTTGTGGGAACAAAGGAAGTTTCACTGTCTTTCTTCTTGTTCTGTTGCTCTGCCAGCAGCTTGGCCTTGGCCTCTTCTGTTGAGATGATGTTTTTTATTTTTGCACTGAAAGAAAAAAAAAAACTCACTCATGGCTACTAAGGGTGGCAGGCAGGCAGAGAAGTTGTTCTACTTGGGTGGGTTGGGGTACAGTAATGGCACTGCTATTGCACTTCATTTTTTAAACTTTTTTAAAGAGGAGGCAGTGCTACAAAAAGGGGTGCTTCGTCTCAATGGGAAAAGGGAAGCGCAAATCTTTATTATATCCTCTTTTGGTGCAGCGCATAAACTGATCCTCAAAAAAGCTGGTAGACTGCAGTCACAGAACTCAAGAGCTTCTCCTCACAAGTCAGCTCTGGTCCTGCACTGCAGCAGCCCTAGTCACTGTGCAGAACACCCTGCTCTAGATATCGTGCTAATCAAGAACAAGGCTCAGCCTCATCATTGGGCCAAGCTGAGGCTGCAGAGTCCAGATGTGCCACTGTCCTGCTAACCAACCAGTTCTAGTCACAGAACTGTCCCTGGCAATTCGGGCTGTAACCGAGGGATCTGTGAACTACGTACTCAATTCCCAGATCCACTTCAGGAATGCCACTCAGCATCTGGTTGGACAGCATCTCTTCGGTCTTCTTGGCAGAGGAGACGCGGATGTTCTCTGGCAGCTCGTACAGAGAGTCCTCAGCGTTCTTAAGCTTCACCTTCTGCTCCTCATTTTCCACAATCCCCTTCCTCTTCTTCAGCTCGGTCTCAATGTACTTCATCCTGAACACCAGCACACAAGGGACATGTGGTATTTAGTTATGTTGAGTGTATTCAGTTCCAACAATGCTGAGCACAGCTGCAGCACCCTCCCTGTGGTGAGGGGAGAGGAAAGAATCATCTCTCCAAACCCACTTGGCTAACATAAACTGCAAGAAGTAAAACATGTCCAAGAAATGATCAGCTCCTCTAAGGTTTTTCACGACTAGCAGGGAAGACTGTCAGTGGTATGAAATGCCACCACACTAACTAGCTGGTTGGCACTTCCCAGCTTCGTTCATGAAATTGCCTTCTCCAGTCTGGCTGGCAGAAGGTGAAACAGTAAATAAAAGTTTCTAGAAGAATGGAGAAGTTCTCTTGGAAACTCGCAGTATCCAGGACAGGAGGAAAAACACCAAGAAAATAACAAAACAAAACCATGAGAGGACATCCAGCCTGGAATTCAACATCCCAGGGAAAATGCAGCACAACTTACATGTCAGCATCTTCATCCCGCCTGTTGGTTTCAGCTGAGAAGGAAGTTCCCAAGTTTAGGTCTTCCTCTTCATTAATCCTGAATGGAAATCACAATGTTACAGCTGTTTTTAACTTGGACATATTGCAATTAGGGTAACTAGCCAAGCTGCATTATCTTAATCATAACATAATTAATAACAATATATAATCAACATAATTGCACAACATAATGCATAATTATTATAATACTTATTATAATTATGTAATTGATATAGCAATATTATTCTTCAAAACAACACATCATTTGGTTAATTCACTAATAGCTGTCATTAGTAACTAGTCCACAGTAGATTTTCAGAGCTCATATAAACGCACTTGTCCTTGCCCCGTTCTTTCAGCTTCTTCATGTCCACCATCCCACCAGATTTTATCTTAAATGGGTCATCCTGTAAAACATGAAATGAAAAGGCTTGAAACTTTCCTCTAGTTTTCTGCTAGTCTTCATAAATCTGGATAAAAATACAGAAAATGAACAGGTTTTAAGATGTGACATCAGTCCTAACCCCAGCTGGACTCTCACAGTGCTCCACTGGACCCCACTGATGTTTTTATAATATTAAGTGAAACCGGGGTGATGAAAAATGATCAAACTTACCACCAGTGTTGCTTCTTCTTGCAGCTTCTCCCCCACAAGCAGAGCTGCAGCACTAGTCAACCAGATATAGAAAGTAAATAAAAATCAGTAGAGGGAAACATTACCAGCATTACTGTGTTTCTTTACTTTTCTGTAAATCTCAAACACTTTTGGTACTACCGCGCATGTAGGTATTTCTGCCAAAAAAAAAAGCAAATGAGAGCAGAAAGAAAGCAAACAGAAGTTTACTGCTACAGGGCAGCACTAGAGAAAACACAAATTCACCTACCTGGTGCCATATTCCTTACCTAACCCCATTGGGTCGTTTCCTGAGACTCTGAACTTCTTTTGCTTCCTCAAGTTTTAATCTGAAGGGAAAACAAACAAAATCTCAGTTTAGGACTTTATTCTTTGGATGTCATTAAGAAGCAGCATTTTTTTTGCAGTAACACAGGAACTTCTAGTGAGGCTTTGCTATAAACCTCTGCATATGATTGTCCACCTTTCTGGTTACAGATTAGACTAACAGATATGTCCCAATTGATTTTATTTAAGCAATTCCATGTATTTAAGCAATCAGAAGAACCACATGGCATCTATTGGGACATGTTTTGTCAACACATCTTCCCTCAGCTGTGGAAAGCAGCATCCAAACACTGTTTAATCTGAAGCCAATTTCTGGGAAGAAAGAGCCAAGGATTTCTGTTCTTGTATATAGTCTGTTAAGATTTCCCACCAGCACTTTCCTTAGAGTATAATAAAGAAGGTCACTAAATAAAAATTCCATTTAGTAAGCGTGGGACACTTTTAGTACTTCAAAAATTCACATTAGCTAATAAAATAATAGTCTTTTCTCAGGGGAGGGAGGACTACTGAAGCAGCTGATTTAGAGCAAAACTAGCAGCAGTTTCCAGGTGAACATATCAGAAGAAAAGATATCAGAATAATATATCAGAAAACATACCAAAACAATAGTGATTCAGAAAAAAGTTGCATTATTAAGTATCAAGTCTCCACATACAGACTTGCCTGCATTCTTACTTTCTTCAGATACTTTGATCTCCCTTAAGTATGCATACTTTCAATATCTGCCATGAAATATGCATTGTAAAATGCATATTTAGAGGAATCGGCCACAAGCTGAAGCACCAAAAGTTCCCCAGGAACTTGGGGAAACATTTCTTGGCAGGGAGGGTGCCCGAGCCCTGGCACAGGCTGCCAGGAGAGGCTGTGGAGCCTCCTTCTCTGCAGATCTTCCCAACCCGCCTGGGCGCAGCCTGTGCCACAGGCTCTGGGTGAGCCTGCGTGTGCAGGGGCTTGGACTAGAGGATCTCCGAAGGTCCCTTCCAACATTAAGGATTCTGTGATTCCAAAATACTTCTCAAGGACAGTGGAGCGGGAGCCGCAGAGCAGCCTCCTCGGGAGGGGCTGTGGAGGCGGCGGCGAGCGGGCGCTCTGCCTGCTGCCGCCCGTGCCCTGGCGCAGGGTCTGTGCGGAGTCCTCATGATCGGGATGTGCCCAACGTCTCCTTCCTCCTGGCTCGGCCTCTCCGAGGAGGCAGACGGGCCCCTGCGCCATGAGGCGGCACGGCGGCATGCAGTATCAGCACGACATGGCCGACGACACCATCACCCCACAGTGCGGCCGGGCACGGGGCGCGAGGCTGCAACGGTGCCTCGTGGCAGCTCGAAGCAACGGCGCCACGTGACGCCACAGCGCCGGGCGGCGATACGGCATGGCGTGAGGCGGCAAGGATGACGTGGGGCGATGACGTGAGGCAGCAATGCAAGGACACGAAGAGGCAACACGATGACGTGGGGTGATGTGAGGCGACAACACGATGACACGAGGCAGCAACGTGATGCCATGAGGTGGTGACATGAAGCGGCAACACGATGACGTGAAGCAACAACGCAACGATGTGAAGCAATGACGTGATGATGACGTGATGACGTGAGGTGACAACAAGACGACATGACACGACAACACGACGATGTGAGGTGATGACGCAAGGCAACAACAGGTTGACACGGGGCGATGACATGAGTGACAACACGATGACGCGAGGCAACAACACGATGCCATGGGGTGCCGACGTGAGGCCACAACACGAAGAGGCGACGTGAGGAGGCACCGGGACTGTGCCGAGTGTCCGCGCCCGGAGAGGGCGCAGCTCGTGCCCCGCAGGCCGCCCCGCTCCCGACCCCCCGGACCCACCTGACCTCCTCGGCCAGCTGCTCGTCCTCGTCCTCCTCGTCGTCGGCGCCTGCCCGGCGGCGGCGGAAGCACTTGGTGCCCGCCATGGCGGCCGCCCCCTTCGCCCCGCGCCGCGCGATGCCGTCACGGGGCGGCGCCGAGGCCGCGGCCGCCGCCTGCCCCGCGCCGCGGAGCGCAGCGCCGTACCGCCCCGCAGCCCTGCGCACCCCCGAGGTAATATACATAGACACGTTATGTATAGAATTCCATAGCTAAGCTGCGGTATTCGCCCCCGCCGCTTCCGGAGAGGTGAGTTTGTGCCCGCCTCAATCCGCCCGCGGGCCCGGGCTGCCTGGACGGGGCGCCCGGCTCGCCTGGGGAGGGGGAAGGAGCCTTCGCCAGGAGGAAAATAATGTTCATAATAATAGTCATAATAATAATAGTAAAAGCAGCGGGTTAAGCGGCGGCGGGGGGCGGGTGCCGGTGCGGGCGGGGAGGCGCCGGCCCGCGGGGATGATGCAGCATCGCGGCCGCGGAGCCCCGGCGCCTGGCGCCGTTACCGGCTGCGCGGGCCCCGCGGCGCGCGGAGCCCTGCGGGCGGCGAGCGCCGCCGCCCTGGGCCGCCCCAGCGCAAACCCGGCTCTGCCCGCGCCCAGCGGGCCCGAGCTGAGCTGCTGGGTTGGCCCTGGGGAGAGGCCCCGGGGAGGAGAGGCCGCCGCAGGGCGCGGGGGGCCGTGGGGGCCGCGCGGGGCCGTGGGGGCCGCTCGTCGCGCAGGGTTGTGCAGTGGCAGCGGGCGGAGGGGTTAAGCGGTTTGCGGAGGTCTCCCCGTGTCCGTGCGGATGGTTAATCCACGGACAGCGCCTTGTCAAGCTGCGTGTGTTGGGAGTTCTCTGCATATATCAGGAATTCATCAAATTCCTGCAGGCAAAAAGCAAAACCACGCAGCTCTCAGCAGCAAAGCAAAGCATAGGGAAGCGTTAGGGCATACGGCAGGGACCCTGCTTTCCTGGCAGCGGTCTCGGCAACGGAAAGCAGGCTGCAGTTACTGCTGGACTTGTTCTGACGTGTCCCCGGTCTGTTTTTGCACAGGGCTCCTGGAGGAAGGCAGCCTGACGAGGGACTTGTTTTCAGGTAACTGCTTTTCCCGTTGCTGTGTCCTGCCCGGCACAGCCAGGCGCTCTGGCAGTGCTGTCCTTATTAAGCTCAGCGCAATTAATAACTGTGTTGAGGCCGAAGCGCTGCCGGCAGCGCCACGGGATCCGAGAGCTGTTTCTGAACCTCCTCTGTTCAGTCAGGCAGGGCTGAGAAGAGAAAATGACCTTTTTTTCCTGTTTTATTTCAAGAGAAGCTGTAAGTGGGAAGACTAGTAATGTGGGAAAAATTTAAGACATGTTTAGTTTAAATAGGTGACACATCATGTAAATTTACTAAAACCATCCGTGTCTGCTCAGCATGGTGCTGAGCACAGAGCTCCAAAAACACTTCTCGTTTAGCTTAGAGTGCTAATGGCTAAGGGGCCCGGAGTTAATTTTAAAACATTTAGGTCATTCGACTTTCTGTGTCTCCAGGGAATGGATGAGAAATCAAGGAAGAAAGAAGGAAAATAACAGAGATGGCACTTTGTTGTTGTTGTCGAAACAACTGATGCATTTGGGATACGGGGGCAGTTTTGATGGAGGGATTTGGATCCTCAGTGTGTCCCAGTTTTGTGCATCATTCCAAGATACCCTAGCTTTGTCTCTTGTCACATGCAGTGCGACATCATTTGGCTTCTGTGTGAAGCTGCGTGAAATTATTCAGTAGTTGAAGGATGTCCTCACAGATGAGCGAGTTCCTCGTCACAACCACAGTTTCCTTCTCTGGTACTTACAGTGACTCCTTCCCCCTCCAGTCTTTCTTTACTGCTGCAGTTTGTTGAGTTTCAAGAATGCTGGCAAAATACAGTTACAAAATTCTCGAGACCTGTGTTCTGCAAGGCAAGGTGCTAGGCAAGCTTTTCAGCTCCTGAGATAACTCTTGCTGAAACAACTTATTTATTGTTATGTTTCTGTCAATGATTTGGAGCATGTAACACTGAGAATTCTTTCAAATGTCCTAAAAACATGAGAACATAAGAGCAGTGAGCACGCTGCTGGAGTTGTTGTTACCTTACAGCTCATAGAAAATTTCAACTTTTTCCTTCTCTTAATGATATAGGCTTTTTATATCTGCTTCATTTCCAGCCAATAATAATATTTCAGATCCTGGCCTGTATTGTTAGTATATATATATATTTTGACAGGCACAGCAGAGCCTCCAGAGGCTGAAGAGCAGGTATCAGTGTTATGGATGGTTTAAGTCCGATTCCCTCTTACCCAGGTTCATTTCAAACAGTAATCACATTTTTAGTGCTTGATAAAGTAACATCTTAATTAAATGTTGTCTTCACATTAACACGGTATAGGCCGTATAGGCTCCCTAGGCACCATATGCCAAAGTGCTTGTGCCTTGAACTGCAGGTCCCTTTGATTTTTCATCTAAATTTCATGCAAACAAGCTCATTAGATTTGCATCTCTTTTTTGCTGCATGTTAATGTTTGGCAGCAGGAAGTAAGTTCAGGTCACTGCATTTGTTTTCACATCCTACCTGCTGAGCCAGGATATAAAACCTAGTTTCCAGAGGAGAAAGTCTAATTTATCAGCCTGTTTTCATCTTGATACGGTGTGTGCATGGTGCACAAGACCAGTGAAGCTATGCAAAGTGCTCATGAACTGAGGGGAGATTTGTATTTATTGCTTCCTCATGCAAAGATGTTGTTTGATCAGACAGTCTGAGTCTTTGAGACTGAGAGGCAGAGCGTGTCGCAGAATTGCTGTTTGCATTTCGAGCTGTGAGTTTACCATGTGCAGCAAATCCAGCCCTGTGACTTGACAGCACCCCTGAAACGGAGTTGGCAGCTGCACCCTGCTGTGCTCTCAGCCTGTGGGAGCAAATCTGACCTGTGACACAACTGTCCTTTCCTGTCCTAGAATCTTTCTGCTGCCACGTGCACCTTGGTGAGAATGGGGGATACAAGAGACATCTGTCCTCACCTGGACTCCATAGGAGAGGTGACTAGGGATGATCTGCTGCTCAAATCCAAGGTACGAGATGTTTTGGTGGTTGTTTCGTTCCTTTTTAGCTTTTGTGCATGGCTGTGCATGTTTGTTTTGGGAAGGTGATAATACCTTGCAAGTGTCCCATAACAGGAGCCTTTGTCAATCCCACCTGGTGTAATTTTCCCTGTCAATTTATCCAGCTCAAATGTGTCCCTTATCTAACACACTGCAAGGTGTATATTTAATTAGAGGTGTGGTTTTACAAAAGAAAATGCTCTGAGGTGGTGTTTGCGATGTTCTTGTAAAGAAATTTCTCACTCTTGAAGGACTAGATTACTTAAAAGACAAACAAACCTTCTTTGATTGTGATTGCAGGGAACTTGCCAGTCTTGTGGAGCTGTGGGACCAAATCTCTGGGCTTGCCTTCAGGTAAAAACAACTTGCTGTTTATGTCCTTGTGTGCAAGAGGATCTTACAGTAGAAATATCTAACAGCTTTTGATAGGATTCTGAGGAAAAGCTTCCCTAGATGAAATACTGATACTGTCAGAACATGCCAAAATGTAACAGTTCTGTCCACGTAGGTGATTCCCCCTGGTAGTGGGAATGTTGAACCCGAGTGCCTGCTTACCTGTGCTCTTCTCTCTCACTAGGTTGGTTGTCCTTATGTTGGTTGTGGGGAATCCTTTGCTGACCACAGCACACTTCATGCCCAGGTGAGCATTTCTCTGCTCTCTGTCTTACGGCAGACAGAGTTGCATTTCCCCCATTACCTAATCCTAATCTGTATAATTCCCATAGTTTTGTACTTCCTTTTGAGTTTAGCTGTCAGCTGCTCACGTCGTTGTCTCACCTTTTAAACCTTAAGGCCAAAAAGCACAACCTGACTGTGAACCTGACCACTTTCCGGGTCTGGTGTTACGCTTGTGAGAAGGAGGTTTTCTTGGACCAGCGGCTGGCAACGCACGCTCACACCCCGCCAGTAAAATTCAGTGACCCGGTATGTGTGCCTGACTGGGGCAGGGGACACGGCTCAGGGAGCCCCAGAGCTTGGCAGGGGTTTTGTTTATTCATTGCAACATCAGCCAAGAAGTTTCCACTATTGTCCAGACTTTTACTGCGATAGGAAATCTTACAACTGTGCTCCTTAGTCAGAGAATCAATAGGTTGCCTTATATAGAATCTCCCAGCAAAAAGACTTCCAAATTTAAAAGAACAACCAACCAAACAAACAAAAAATCAAGGATATTAAAGTAATCTTTTAAGTCCTTTTCATAGGGCATCTGCTTCTGGGGGGAACCACAACAGCTGTCATGTCTATTTTTGCTGCATGGTCCATCAGATCTTTTTAGCTGTCAGAGCAGAAACTCGTGTTCTGGTGACGATGCTGCAGATTTCTGATGCTGTGGAAGCAGGAATGGTCCTATTTCTGTTCCCTTGCATTAGGGAGGAGGGATAGATAGTGCAGTTAGTCTTTCTCTTTCCAGTGTGCTTTCTTTAAAAGCTGGCTAGGTGCATATATATATATAAGGTTAATATCTCTCATACCATCTTTTAGGGCAGGACTCTCACTGACACTCTGTTTCTGTGCCTTTAATCTAGGATTCTCCATTGCCTGCTCACCCCTTGAAAGCTGTTCCAATTGCCGTGGCTGATGAAGCTGAATCTGAATCAGAGGATGATGATTTAAAACCGAGAGGTAACACAGCACCCAGCTGATGGGTGGGGAGAGTAGCTCGGCAGTCTGCACGGCCTGCGTTGAGGGGTTCCTAGTTGCAATGAGAACAGAGTGCAGAGCCTGCCTAGAAAGGACCAAATTCCCTCTCTTTCGGGGAGGACTGCAGAATGCAGCAGTTCTGGAAAGTCTTTCACACCTCTCTTGTTTGTGCTTTAGGCCTTACTGGAATGAAAAATCTTGGGAACTCCTGCTACATGAATGCAGCACTTCAGGCTCTCTCTAACTGGTAGGCATTAGGGCCTTTCAGTAGAGTCTTTATATTAGATTTCACTAAGCATCAGAAGTGGCATTTCTGAGCTGAGACCTTCCTCATGAGTCATGCAAAGAGAAAGCAGCTAGGCTAGGTGCAGAAAAGGCAGTATGAAAAGCATGGTGTTTGTTTAGGGCAGTAGAAGTTTTAGAGCAGGAAAATGAGTAAAGAGTTGACTTAGGGCTACTGGAAATAAAACTTCATAGTTTACATTGTGAAAGAAGTGGATTTAATACATGGGATCACATGTCATGTCTCTTATTTTCTCCAGTGATATAATTCTAGCAAATTGTATCCTAAAATATTGCATAGACATCCTGCTGAGAAACTGTAGGCTGTATGCTGGGGACAGATTCAGATCAGCTCTTTCAATCTCAGCAAGTTAGGAATGAAATCTGCATTTAGAATCACTTCTTTCTCAGTTAAAGAAAAAATATTTTAAGCATGCTTTCAAAAAGTCATGCATTTAAGTTTTGATAAATCCTGAAATAGAGTGGATAAATTTCTTCCCACTGGATTCTCTTCATTTTTCTTTTTCTCTTTTTTTTTTTTTTCCCTGTAGCCCTCCTCTCACACAGTTTTTTCTGGAGTGTGGTGGACTGGTTCGCACCGATAAGAAACCAGCACTGTGCAAAAGCTACCAGAAGTTGGTGTCTGAGGTCTGGCACAAGAAACGGTGAGTGGTTACCCCAGGAAGCAGGTTCTGTACTGCTGCTGGTTCTGAATATGGCATCAGCTACGAGGGGTCTGCAGCTTCAGTGATAAGTGCAGTCACTTCAGATCCCCCACAGAGGGTATACGAGGATTCTCCCTATCTAAAAGATCCTATGTCCTCTCATTGGTGATAAAGTCCATGATCAAAAGTCCATGATCATTTTTATTGTTAGTGCTTTAGAAAGGAAGAGATTTGCTTAACGCATGGGAACAAACGGCCTTTCTGTTGGCAGGGAAGAAAGCGGTGGGATAAGGGATTATTCTTGGCTGTTTCTGGATATGTTCCATGCACTGACCAGCACTTAATAACACTGTTTTTGATTAGCAGAGGGATTGAGAATTTGGATGAAAAAAGAAGTACACAGCTGACACTGACATATTACAAATAAGAGTGGAAATGCAGGTGACCTGGGGAGATGTTTGCTACTGGTTCAAATTCTAGACCAGCTCAAAGGGTGGTGTGAGATAATGTGGCTCTGTTGAAATCTGAAAATCTGGCATGCCTGTGCAACTGTAATCAGCTGAAAAGAAATTAACCCAGGTTATCTACGTGGCGCTGCATGCTTTGTGTTAGTTGTTCCTATGGGACAAGTAAGATAAAGAGCAGAAGTAGCCTGTCTTTATGGAGCAGATTGGAGACTCTGCAGCGGTGTAACGTCATGTCAATATTGGTTTTGATTTACCTCACTTACTTATCCCTGGCCTGCCCAGCCAGATTTTGAGGTAGATAAACTGCTGTGAGATCAAACCAAGTAACTGATTGCAGAACTGCCCTGGGAAAATCCACAGCGCAACCAAGATTTAAGTGAAATGTGCTTCAGCAGAGGTTCTGGGAGGATACACTGAAATGCCTGAGAGATTTCCTACCTCTTAATTTATATGTCACCCAGTTGATTAAAAAAATACAAATATGCCTAATGTTTGCAGGTGCATAATTATCTTCTGCCCTCTTTAAGCAGTTACCACTCCCTGCTCTGTTGCTAGCACACAAAGTGGCTTCAGGCCTGATAAGCCAACTAACTTTTCCTTTTGTTTGTTTGTTGTTGTATCCAAACAGGCCGAGTTACGTGGTTCCGAGCAGTCTGTCTCATGGAATTAAGCTTGTCAACCCTATGTTCCGAGGCTATGCACAGCAGGTGGGGCTTCAGCAAAACCACCCCATTGTGCCAGGGATGGGTGGGGGGGTTCTTCCTCTCACAGTGGTGCTTGTGTTTGGAAACAGAAGTCAATACATCTTTCTATGCATCGTTTCTCACCTACAAAATTATGCTGGCGACCTCCTTATAAAGGGCTTTGCAATGTATTGATATATGCTATAGGAGTTAGGTGTTATTTATTTATATGAGAGCTGAGAAACCTGGATAAATCTGTACTAAAATGTTAAAAATATGAGTGTTCTATATTAATTTGAATACTAGCATTCAAAGATAGTATCTTTTTTTCTTTGAAGGGTTTTTTTTTCAGTTTCCAGTCTCTGGCATTTGTTCTTTAGAATAAAACATAAACATCAAACTGATTAGAAAATTTATAGAAGTGACAGTAGACAGTACATCTAAGCTGTGATACTGATAGCAAGTCAAAACAGTGGATAAAAATAATGATTAATGAAAGAACGTCTGTATCTTTGATGCAAAGTACTTTGAATTGGAAGACTCTCATCCATAAAGAGATAAAGTTGAAAGCAGGGCAGGCTAAAAGCCAAGCTTCCCTAAAATAACAGAAACATCATAATTAACTGCCTGCAGTTGTCACAGTACCAGGTGGCTTTCCAGCAGGTCCTTTGATGGCACTGCATCAGCTCTTTTACAAAGTATTGCAAATTTAGAAGCTGTATCCTGAGCGTTTTAGTCTTCAGTTTTTGGTTCCATTGCTGATTATTGAAGATTTCAATCTGCTCCCTTTAATAGAGGGATCATGAGTAGGAGACAGCGTTTATGGAAATGTATTCTGTGGGTAAGAATCTGCTGCCTTTATTATGTGTCCCCCGTCCCCTTGTCTCCTCTCAGATAAACTAGCTCATGGTTTGCACGTGGTAGCTGCTCAATAACTTTTTGGTGTTCTTCTGAAGATGAAAAGTGGCCCTTCCATCACTAGAGCTGTTTGCTGGGGGCACAGGCTTGTGGGTGCCTCTCCATGGTACCCTGCTCTGGAGGGGGCTCCTTGTGTTGCCAAGTGCCTGATTTTGTGGACAGCACTGAAAGAGGCTGTGAACGGACCCTTCTCTGTGGTCTATTGCCCCTTTCCCACGTCTAGGTGGATTCTAACTAACGTGAAATTGCTCCTGGTTTTCAGGACACTCAGGAGTTCCTGCGCTGCCTGATGGACCAGCTCCACGAGGAGCTAAAGGAACCCATCATTGCTGAGACAAGGGATTCGGATACCGGTGACCAGGACGACAAGCGAGAGGGGGACCGCAGCCCCTCGGAGGACGAGTTCCTCTCCTGTGACTCGAGCAGCGACAGGGGCGAAGGGGACGGTCAAAGCCGGGCCCCTGGGGGCATGGGCAGCGGCTCCCTGGCGGAGACGGAGTTGTTGATCCAGGATGAAGCTGGAAGGGGGATCTCTGAGAAGGAGAGAATGAAGGACCGCAAGTTCTCCTGTGGCCATCGGCGCAGCAACTCCGAGCAGGTGGATGAGGATGCAGATGTTGATACCACCATGATGCCTGTGGAGGGAAGAGCCTCCCCTGAGATGCTCCCTGCTCCTCGTCCTGCCAGCCCGTGTCGGACGCCAGGTATAAACCTCTTGCAGTCATGTTGTTTGTGAGAAGATGTTGTCTTCCTACCGTGAGCTAGCACTATAGTGCAGTGGCAAATATTGCATAGGGTGACTCTGTTTCTCTGGGTTTCAACAAAAGAGTTGCTATCCACAACTATATATTTTTTTCTCAGTATTCCTAGCAGTAATTCTGGCTTGGTGCAAAACTGCAGCTGTAAGAAAGCATAACTGAGCCAGAAAGGTGGTTAGCCAGGCTAAATTGCAATAGAGCTGAATGAAGGCTACACCTAAAGGCAGCAAAAGCGGCCTATGTTGAACCTCCAGACATTGTTTTCGTGCCTTTTTCTGATTTAAGGAAGATTTTAAATGTGTACCTTGCTTTAGCTGATAGGCTGGCCTTGCAAAAAAAAAAAAAAAAAAAAAAGTTGGATGTGAAAGAGAAGTCCAAGATGATATTTGTTAATGTTGGGCTGTGAGCCTTGTGCAGAGAGAGGGGAGGTGCCCAGTCTGTGTGTTGGTTTTTATTTTTTGCACTAGGGAAAAGAGCAGCAGTTAAGATGTAGGTGTGGAGTCACCTCCAGCTGGACAAGCTCCATCTTTCAACACATCTTTATGTAAGAGTCTTACTGTGCCAACTGGCACTGAAGGCAGCCGTGCCGTTTTGTGGATTAAGGATACAGGAGCAAGCTGTAAAGCCTAATTAGTCACAAGCGTGACAAGAAGGGTGATTTGTTTTTTAAATATAATTCCCAGCAGTTCGGTGTAGCTCTGTATCCTTTGGACTGATGGGGCTGAGTGTGACAGCCCTGGTGCTGATGGGGCTGCCAATCTGTGCAGACAGGACAGACAGTAGATACTGATCTGTGCTGCACAACACCGTGCTGGGGCAGAGCTGGGAGCTGCGCCGAGGCTGACTGCAACAGGCTGTGCTTGCATAACTGGGGCTTGCAGCAGTGCTTTATCCCGCTCCGTTTCCCAAGCAGAGCCCGACAACGATGCCTACGTGCGCTGCTCCTCCCGCCCCTGCAGTCCGGTCCATCATGAGATGCACTCCAAGCTCTCCAGCAGTCCCCCTCGCTCCAGTCCTGCCAGGCTTGGACCTTCCTATGTACTCAAGAAAGGTAGGGGAAGGGTGTCTGGCATGTGCTGGGAGGCCGGGGGAGCATGAGGAAGAGGAGGAGGGAGTGTGAATTTGCGGGGGAGAGAAGGAATCCACTGTGATCGTTGACTGGCAGTTGTAAGAAAAGCCAATTCCCCTGGACATCAGTGCTTTCTAAATAGTGTTATGCAAAGAATCGAGTAAACCTGCAGCTGCAGTCAGGTTTTACATACAACAGATAGTCTAGTGTGCTCATATATTGGAGTCTGACATGACTTCCTCACTATGTGTGCTTTGTTATTAACAAAATAGCTCTGAAGTCCCAGGTATAATCTCCATCCTTTTCTGGAATGGACTTAGCATGTCTAGGGACTGTAAATGATGTTACTGAGAGTCTCCTGGCTCTTAGATGTTTGGGGCTCACAATAATAGAATTAAGGCTAAAAAATGTCAATCCAGTGCTGGGAGCATCGTAGGCTTCTGTTGCTGTTAAACTGCTCTTTTCATCCAAGCAAACTGCAGAACGAAGCGCTCCTTGCACGGCCTGCGGACACAGTGACGTGTGCTGATAGCACCACAGCTGTGCAATAATAAGCTTGCTTTCCTCCACTAGCCCCTTGGCTGAGGTCAGCGCAGCCACAGATGTTCTGGCCTGATAAAAAAGCCCCGTCTGTGTGTGCATAGCAAGGAAGAATAACAAAATTTAATAATTTTGTTATTAAACAGAACAGCCGCGTTCAGGGAGTTCTTGGCTCAGTCTTCCCCAGCATAAGACGCCTGGGATACACAGGGTAAGTGCCAGAGAGGAAAGGACAAAGCACGCAAGGTTTTTTTTTTTTTTTGAGAGGGGAGAGGCAATGAAGGGTAAAGCTTGGAAGAAAATGGTGCAGGGTTTCAAAAATGTAGGGAATCTGTGACAGAATGAGGGTGTTAAACAAAAAGTGAGAGGATGGAGATGAGATTTCCAGAAGCACAATTTGTGCAATTTGTGTCCAGAAACTGCAGGCTGCTACATTTGTGTTGGTTCAGTTGGCTACTCCCCGTTCCTTGTGCCATCCGAAGCAGCAGTTCCTCACGTCAGTTCACGATGGGCTCCAGTGGCGTGCAAGTGGTATCTGACATGCAGCACAGCACTCGTCCTGTGCTCCTGGTGTGTGGCTGCCTGACTGCTGAGACAGGAGAGGTGGAGAAGGTGCTCCTAGGTGACAGAGCTTCCCTGTTTCTCTTTCAGCCCAGATACAGGCGTCTGGGAAAAAGAAGAGGGAGCTTCGTTACCGCAGTGTGATCTCTGACATCTTTGATGGCTCCATCCTCAGCCTGGTGCAGTGCCTCACGTGTGACAGAGTGAGTCCCCTCATGGTTGTTAGTCACAGAGCACAATCTTCTAGCTGTTCCTCTCTGCTTGGGAAGTGCTGCTGCTATTTCCAAGCACTGTGGAAGGCAGTGCACTCGCTAAAATGACTACAGGCGGGTGGCAGGTAAGGTGTGAGAAGCCTACCAAGAAATAATCCGCCTCTGCAGCGGCCAGTTTGCTCATATGTGTTACTGAGCTGGCCTAGCAGTGTCACATTTGTGTTAGAAAACTGATTAGAAGCACTGCAAAAAAAAAGTTAAAAGTCCTGCCAGTAGCAGTTAAAAACACTTAACTAGAATGGGCTGCTCTTAATGCCAGCTCAGACTTCCTGCCCTCCAGGGCAAGTCCAAGCAGTGATAAAAGGTGCTGAAGATCAGGTCCCACCTCCATTACATGCACAGGAAACCCAGGCCTCTTCTTCTTGCATATTCCCAGGTTTCTACAACAGTGGAGACATTCCAGGACCTGTCGCTCCCAATCCCTGGAAAGGAGGACTTGGCCAAGCTGCACTCTGCCATCTACCAAAACGTGCCACCTAAAACAGGAGCGTGTGGCGACAACTACGCCTCGCAGGGCTGGATTGCCTTCATCATGGAGTATATCCGGAGGTGGAGTATATCTGCATCCTCCTGCCTTGCCCTGCCCTGCCTGGAAGGCACCCACCTACCTGCAACCAGGGCTGCTGACAGCAAAAGTGTCAGTTGTAGCCGTCCCTTAGAGCAGGGCAGGATCTCCCAGGTCTGTTTTGTCCTCTTCACATAAACCAGCTGCTGCTGTTCCTCGTGTTCTGTCCTTCCCCTTGAGACCTCTCGTGCAGCTGATAATCCTTCACTTGCATCTGCCCTCGGAAGCAGATGAATTGCCAACAGAGTTTCTCAAATTGTTTCTAGTTTCTGCAATCCCAGTAGGAACCTCAGCTGAGGAGAAATTGTTCCTTTCTCTGGAGACTATAATGAGACTAGAAAGCTAACTTAGTGCCTGCAAGCTTGAAGGAATCTAAACCATTTGGGATTTTATAAGCCAAAGTGTCCAGCTAGTTTATGTGTAATTCTTTCTCTCGATCCCCTCTCTTCTGCAGATTTGTGGTGTCCTGTATCCCTAGCTGGTTTTGGGGTCCCGTCGTGACCCTGGAGGATTGTCTTGCTGCCTTTTTTGCAGCAGATGAACTGAAGGGTGAGTCAGCTTCAGTGGCAACTGAAAGCAAGAAAAAATCATGGGAAATAATGGGAGAAGGTCTCACATGTGCACTGTGGAGGTGGATTAAATCTGGAAAGCCTGTCTCAGTATTTCAGTCAGAGATTAGCAGCACCAAAACCTTGTTGTTCACCTTCTCTGGGCAGAAAGGGGTTTTCCCATTTAGTCAAGGGTGCTTCTTTTTCATTATGAATGAAGTGTCTGTCCATTTTTTTTAATTCTAAAGGATTTAAACCATCTGACATATACACTTTTGTTGGTGGAAGATTCTGCACCGCTCTGCTGGCTGATTGCATTTCCTCATGCGTGCGCCTGCTGAGAGTGCTTGTTCTGATCCCTTACCTGGCTTCCTCAAGGGGCCACTCAACTTACACTTGCACCCAGTGTAGGGGAGCCATCGTTCCCGGAGTCATGTGCTTGAGTAACTGCCTAATGGCTCTTTTTCCTTCATCTGCAGGGGACAACATGTACAGCTGTGAACGGTGTAAAAAGTGAGTTTGCATTATCCCTATTGTGCTGTATTTCTGCAGTGTCATTTCTCTGTTCAGCTGTCAACCCCGTTGTCTTCTGTCTGCGTGTTTCTGCTAACCGGCATGTAAAATCTGCCTTGCCTTAAGCTAGAGTTCTGATCTTCAGATATCTCTGATGTCAGGTAGGAGAAGTGCTGGCTGCGGGAAAAAGAGAGAGAGAAGGGGCCTAAATGGGGATGTGGCTTGGCAAAAACAGAGCTATTGTAGTAGAAAGAAGAGGCCCGACAAACTGCTTGTGCTATGCTCTATTTGATACTGCAAAGAGCCTGAATTTATTGCTGATGAAATTCAGGATTTGTCTTGGATTGCAGAGCCAGCAAGACGAGACACAGTATTTAGGCAGAGTGGCCTTGCCTTTTGATATGCATTTCCTCTAGAGATTTCTCACAGTTGTTTTCTCTTTCTCCCGCAGGCTGCGGAATGGAGTGAAGTACTGCAAGGTCCTCAGGCTACCAGAGGTGAGTAAAAGCAGCTTGTTTCCTAGTTTTCTCTCAGCTGCTGCAGTCTGAGGAGGTAAGGAGGCTAGAGGCAGAATGGAAATAGTCTGTTTTGGTAGCAGCAAAGGTTTTGTGTAGACCAAAGGAGATTTCTAAGTTGGTGAACCAGCAGGATTTATGACTAAAGGGTAAAGAACCCTTGCAAAGGGAAGAGAACACACAGAGATGCTGGTGCATTTGAGCAAAAAACTAGCAACCCTGAACTTTGCTCTCTGTTCTCTGCTCTTTAGATTCTTTGCATCCACTTGAAGCGGTTCCGGCACGAAGTCATGTATTCCTTCAAGATCAACAGCCACGTCTCCTTCCCCTTGGAAGGGCTGGATCTGCGACCTTTCCTAGCCAAGGAGTGTGTGTCTCAGATCACCACCTACGATCTCCTGTCAGTCATCTGCCATCATGGCACAGCAGGCAGTAAGTCCTTCCTGGGAGAAGGCGCCAAGGGTGATTAGGAAGAGATGAGAAGAGCAGGAGGGTGTTCAGGGAATTTTGCCTCTCTTGCTCTTTCTCCTGTCTCTGCCAGCAGCTCCTGCCTTAGCTTTGCTGGGCTGCTGACGTTATCCCAGGCCTGACTTCTGCGTGTGCCGTGTTGCGTTTCCTCTGTTGCAGGTGGGCATTACATAGCCTACTGCCAGAACGTGATCAACGGCCAGTGGTACGAGTTTGATGACCAGTATGTCACTGAAGTCCACGAGACTGTGGTCCAGAATGCAGAAGCCTATGTCTTGTTCTACAGGTGAGCTGTGCCCTGCACGCAGCAGTCCCTTGCTGGGGGCAGGATACCTGGAAATGTCTTTGGAAAAGTAAAATTTCGAGGATTGCTTCATTTTCTTTTCCCTACTGAAGGAAAAGCAGCGAAGAAGCTGTGCGGGAACGTCAGAAGGTTGTATCACTTGCCAGCATGAAGGAGCACAGTTTACTTCAGTTCTACATCTCCCGAGAGTGGCTCAATAAATTCAACACCTTTGCTGAGCCTGGTCCTATCACCAATCACACCTTTTTGTGCTCGCATGGAGGTAAGGCAGGGCTGCCCTTCAGCTGCACCTTTTACTGACTCATACAATAACAAATACAGGGGGAAAAAAATCACCACCTCCAGTCCTGATACGGGTCTGCTGCAGTAGGATCCATTTAATTGGCAGAAACCCCAGCTTGCTTGGGGACAGATAAGACAATCACCCCATTGTCCTGCCGATCAGAGGCCCAGGGGGATGTGTAGTGCTGGGAAATGACCATTTTCAGTTTGCTGGTTGTTTTTAAAAACAAACCTGTGGAAAACAGATAAGGCAGCATTTATCTGTGTTACCTTATCAGCAAGGTTGGCATTCAGCATTTGTTTGGAGAATGCAGCACGTGCTGCTGAAGAGAGCTGATATCAGACACGTTTTATTGTTCTGCTTCTTGATTTTTTTTTTCATGCTGGGAAGCCCTTGTGTGTTTATAAATCTCCATTGGAAAATGAAGCATTTGATTAGAAAATGAGGCCACTAATTCAGAAACTTCCAAAATAAATGAACTCTTGACATTTTCCTTCAATAGAGGAAGCAAATTCCAGAACTGGGAAGCTTTCCGTGGGAAAGAGCTGCCTTTTTGCTATTTGTGTCTTTACCTGGCAATGACCAGTTTCCCATGTTAACTCTCTATCACTTTTCATTCGCAGGAATCCCTCCCAATAAATATCATTACATTGATGACCTGGTGGTGATTCTACCCCAGAATGTGTGGGAATATCTCTACAACAGGTGAGGATGTCCATTTTTCCCCTCTCCCACTGCGTTCTGTTTAACTAGACTAGTCTGCCGTCCTGGCATGTGCCAAACTCAGCCTTGACCAAGATGTGATCCCTTCCAATGGCACCTTATAGGTGTAAGGTGCTTGGCATGGACAGGCCCATGTGGTATTTGATAGAGCCTCCTAACTTAGACCAAAGCGAGCTGTATCAGTGTGGTGTTCCTGAGCAATATCGCTGTGACCCTTGCTGGGTAGAATACACTCAGTCTCATCCATTCAGAAAATAGCTGTTTGCTAAAGCCCCTCCTTACCTGGATCAGGATAAAAATCCATCTGTGTAGGCTGCGGGGTTGGGAAACCCTTCCATTCTGCTGTGGTGCTCCAATGCCTCCCCTCTCCTCCCGGAGTCAGGTTCGGCGGGGGCCCTGCCGTGAACCATCTGTACGTGTGCTCCATTTGCCAAGTGGAGATTGAGGCACTCGCCAAACGCAGGAGGATTGAGATCGACACCTTCATCAAGGTTCGTGTGAGAAGGGTCTGGAGGTCATGGCAGGGGATGGAGGTGGAAATGGAGACCCCGTCCCAGATATCTAGTGGAAAACTTGGCCCTGCCTTCGGTAATGTGCTCTACAGCATGGCCAGGAGTGGGGTTCCCCCGTGCTAACAGAATGGAGAGGGGCAGCTGGGACATGAGGATGCTGGGGGTAGCTGCATGGAGTTGGAAACCTCCTGGGTCTCTCCCTGCTCTAGTAAGAAGGAAGAGCTTGTGAGGAAGATGGTGGGATTACAGGGGTTAGTCTGAAGAGTGGCAGGGCTGCCTTGCAGTTAATGGAAGGGTCTCCCCCTGACGGCAGCAGTGACTAAATCCTTCCCTCCTCTCTCTGCTCTCCCAGCTGAACAAGGCTTTCCAGGCCGAGGAGTCTCCAAGTGTCATCTATTGCATTAGCATGCAGTGGTTCCGCGAGTGGGAAGCCTTTGTCAAGGGCAAGGATAATGGTAAGAAATCCTGACCTCTGGAGTCCATCCAGGTGGGGAGAGGTGGGATGGAGAGGAGGTCTCTTGCTGGGTGCACCTCACTGAGCATTGCAGCTGACAGTTCAGCTTGATGCTGAGTGCAGTTCAGTGACCCGCCACTCAGGCTGCCAGCAGCTCCCTAAGGACAAGGTGGGGAGAACAAGAGATCTAAGCTGGGAAATAAGCACAACCGGGTGCAAATGGAGCCTGGCAGGGCGCATCACTTGGGTGTCAGGTCTCATTGCTGAGCAGCTTCTTGCTGTGTAAGTGCACAGGCAGGGCCAACAGCAGCAGTAACATCAGCCTTTTGTTTCTCAGTTGCCATGTAATGGAAGTGGATGTCTTTGCCCTGGAGGGTCAGGACTTGACTGCTCCAGATTCCCCTGAGTATTGCTGCTGTTCTTATTGCCTTTCCTGACAGGTTAGAGTTCCCTGCTTGGAAATTCCTTTAATGTAGGGCTGTTTAATAGCACCTTCTGTTACTAGAGCCTTCCATACCTGATGGCAGGATATTGATTTTGCATATTGTTATTATTAGAATGATGCCTTCTCCACACACTAAAGCCCCCTGAACTTGATAGTCCTCTACTGTGAGCACTGTACAGTCCAACAAAAGCTTCTTCATAATCTTCACTGGCTCTGCTGCCTCTATGACATATAGCCAGAAGATGAGTGTGAGTGGAATGGTTTTCTGACATGTTTCTTCTCCTCTTGCAGAGCCTCCTGGGCCAATAGACAACAGCAAGATTGCACTTACAAAAGCAGGTGGCCACGTGCAAGTTAAGCAGGGTAAGGCTTGTCGTGTTTGCCGACTTTGAGCTTTTGTTCCTAAAAGATCCATCTGTCCATCATTCAGCGGGAACGCAGCAAGAGGGTTTTGTAGAGGATGACACTTTTCTGCACCGGGACTGTCCTGGCTGAGCCACCTCAGCTTTGTTTGGCAGCTGCTGCATGACCCGCCTGCTGATGAGTCCCACTGTAGTGAAACCTGCAGTCCTCCATCCTCTGCTGTTGCTGTTCCCCAAACCCTTCCTACCATTTTCATTGTCCAGCATGGAGCTTCAGTCTTTCTGTTGCTCTTGACTTCAGCATCTGAATATATGGATTTAATATATACACGTAGGCCCCACTCAGTGGTCAGGCAGACCCTTGTGTGGGGGGCTGCTCCTGCTCCACTCTTGTGCAGAGTGAAAGTGTGGGTGCAGCAGGAACCCAGAAGAGTCACCTCACTGTGTTGGAGCCTTGGAGGCTTCCAGCAGTAGGTGGCACTGCAGAGGGCTGCCCGGGGGCCACTGTCACTGCGTTGCCTGTCACAGAGCTGCCACTTGAGCAGGGCAGGGTGAGGCAGGATTTGGGCAATGCAGGTTGCAGTCACCACATGCGCCTTCCAGGCTCCCACTGCTCCTGGTGCTGGGCCTCAGCAGGGCCACGTGGCAGGAGAGGATGTCCTCCGTGCTGTGACAAACAAGCACAGAGCAAGCACCTGCACCGGGGGCCCAGCTGCATCTCTGATGGCTGCTCTTGTCCTTGTCCAGGTGCTGATTACGGGCAGATTTCCGAGGAGACGTGGATCTATTTAAGCACGCTGTATGGAGGGGGCCCAGAAATAGCTATCAGACAGAATGTGGCCCAGGCCCAGGAACTGGAGAACCTCCATGGGGAGCAGAAGATCGAAGCGGAGACCCGGGCTGTGTGAGCGGTGCGGGATGGGGCAGGGAAGGTATGGCACGAACACGTCCACGCGGGGCTGAAAGGCTGGGGAAGCTGAAGGAGTCAAATCTCTTCCTCTGTCCGGTACTCGAAGGTGTGGGCAGTGCTCACCACCACTGCTGGGGAAGGCAGGTTTCCTCCACCATCCTTTCACGTGGTTTGGAATATCGGTACAGTGCTGCAAAAGCCTGGGAGAAATGGGCTTTTCTCTAGTTCACATGTGCAGCCCCAGTGGATAAAGCCATGGTGGGGAGGCTGCGGCCAAACTTCACCTGGAAATAGTTGGCTTGGTCCCTCTCCCTTCAGTTTGCTTATGTGAAGCCAGCACTCCCAGCCTGCCCCCAGGGAATTGAATCGCTCTGCTCCTTTGCAGGTGGCTTGTGGCACTTTTTTTTTCTTTTTTTCTTTTAATTCAATGTATAAAGATAATGAAGTGTTATTTATGTTTCCAGTTCGCCATGTTGCAACTAGAGAAGCCCCTTTATCTGAAGCTGACTAAAGCCACAAGGTCTCCTGCTAGTTTCATGCTGGCGGTGCACGGCTGGTACAACTTCCTAGTTTTGCTCCTTATCTCATTCTTGCAACCTCAGTTGCAATTAAGCTCAAAAGAGGCTTTTTCCCCCTGCCACCAGCCATAGCTCCATCTTCATGGTCCCGCAGGGCTCTTTCCTTCTTGTATCTCTTGCTGTACATTCAGCAGGTTTTCAGAGAACAAAGCTGCAAGAACAAATTCTCCTTCCCGAGGTACTGTTTCCTCTGCAGCTCCTGGCTTTGCAGACAGGGATGCAGCCTTCTAGGTATTAAGCTGAGAGGGGTGGTACTTGGGCAGCATGACTGCCAAGCTGGTAGGTGGGCAGAGCAGAGCTGGACACAGGACAGCTCCCACGCTGGCTTTAGGACCCCTCTTCTGGTTCCTGTGAAATCCCCGCATCTGCTTGTCCAGACCCCAGCCTTGGCAGGGCCCTGCGTAAGCCCAGACCCTGTTTGTGAGAAGCAAGGGGTGCATGAAGGGTGAGGAGGACCCTTTGAGGCCCTCGGTTTGCCCAGAGCCTAGACGGAGAGGTCACCTTTGGGCAGAGCAGTGGTTCAGCCCTGGGAAGGTGCCCGGCTGAGCCGGCCTTGTTTTCTGCAAACAAGCCCCATGTGTGTGCTGAGCTCCTTCTAGCTTCCCAACACACATCTTGTTTGTGTACACAGTGGCTCATTAATGAAAAGGAATAACACGCTCCCCAATCTGCTGCTGCGTCTGTAGCCGCAGAGCATCCGATTAACAGGCAGAGGAGAGAGGAATGAAGATGAAAAAGGCCAAAAGCCCCTTTGAGGTGAGGGCAACTCAAACCTTTTCATTCATCCAGAAGCCTGCAAGGCGATAGCACATTCCATGTGATTTTGCAAACCCTTGAGTGAGATTTGAGGGAAAGGCAGCAAGGCCAAGCTGGCAGGGCCGGGGCAGCCTCCCCCTTGGGCCAGGCAACCTCTTGGATGGAAGCACCAACCTCTGTGCTCGTCCCAGGGCTGGAACCTTCACGGTTCCTCTGCATCAGTCTGTCCTGGCAGCAGGTTCCAGCGCGGGGTGACGACCTCCCACACCCTGTACTCGGCCCCTGGAAGGGGAGGAGGGAGCTGCTCTTTGACCTGCTGCTAGGAAGTGGAAAAGGGTGTGGGAGAAGTTTCTGAAATGAAAAACGTGGCCTTCAGAGTTTTTTAAGACCAAATGTTTGCAGCAAACAGCAAATTCTTTTAAAAGGTTTCTGTAAATGGTTCAGCATGTTAATTTTACTATCTTGTTTATGGGATGCTTGTACATGGCCCGCCAGGCCTGAGGGGATGTCTGGGGATGAGCCACTGTTGGGAGTCCTCATTGTTTTAGCTGTCTTTGTTCACTGCAGCCTTCGTGGATTCTGCTGCGGAGCCTGTAGGGCTGCATGTCTGTGTTGTGTCTGTGCCATTCAGAGGATGCTGTACAGATTGTAATAACACTCCCGTGCTTAAGTGTTATATTCTGTGCTGAAAACGTGTCACAATAAATACATGTGCATCAAGAAGTTGCATGACTGCTGCCTGTGGGGCCAGAGGTATTGGATAGCTTCCCTGGAAGTCACAACATTAATGGAAAGATAAATAAATAGATAAATAAAAGACCCTGCTGCTGAAGGGCCTTAGGAACAAGATGCTCTGGGGCAGCAAGCTGGGGCAGTGCAGTCCATTAAATCAGTGCAGTCACTCAGAGAAGGTGCCTGCTCCTTTCAGCCTCCTCTTCAACCCGTTTCACTTACACACATCAGTTTCAGCAGAGATTGTGCTCAAGAAACCTATGTTGTCCAGGAAGCAGGTGCTGTTCATCACTGCTGGGAAAGGAACGTGCAAAGAGAGTAGCTTGAAATTTCATGGAGCTCTTCTAGATTTCTAGAACAGAGCCCAGGAAGTTGTTTTGGTCTGACTGGTGTCTGGCCCCAGGGGGGAGTGAGACTTAATAGCTCAGGCCTAAAATATCACAAAAACAGGACTGGAGAGCTGTTAAGAAGAACATACAGCTTGTACTCGGGCACCTTTAAGTCATCTTTCAAAATTTTCATCTCGCAAACAAACGCTGTAACCTCAGCAACTGCAGAACACTCTGTAACATTCCTGAGGACGTTAACAAATTCCCTTTCCCTAGGGACAGGATTATATAGTGTCTAGACACACAGTTTTAGTAGTGCCCTGGCAAAACCCTTGTGGTACTTTTTGTTATCCTCTGTTGAACACTCAGTTTGTTGTGCCCCATAGTTCATTTTAGATTTGAAGTCTGACTGTGGTGCTGCCTTTCTGTGACGCTGGCAGCAGGTAACTGCTACCTCTGAACACCTACCCCAAACACAGAAAGCTGCCAGAACCACTGAGAGCGGCAGTTTACGTCCAAAATAGAGCAGTTGTGTTTGCATAAACGCTTACTTTTTTCTTTATTTCATCGGGTCTTTTGCTGACTGCAAGAATGAGGAGATGGGAGAATTGTTCATGCACTGAGCTAACCTCATTGCTTCTATTATTTGTTCTCCCTCTCCATCTTCTGTGAGTATTGGGGAGTTTACAGAGAGGTAAGTTCAGTTTACAGGAATTAAACTGCTTTTCTGCTGTGCATCCCCATGGCCTAGACGGGGGGCTCATGAGCACACCCGTTGGTGATTCAGGGCAAGACCCTTCCCTCTGCTCTTACTTCAAAACAGGCACTTGTCAATCCATGGAAGACAGAGATAGCTCTTCCTTCCCAGATAAGGCCAATATATGTAAAGTTGGTATGTAAACCTACCCCAACATATAGTAAACTTTACCCTCCACGGCCACTTGTTCATACAGCCTTAGGCTGGAGCCCACAGATGCCAGTGGCCTCTCTCCACCCCGGCCAAATGAATAGCATTGAGTTCTGAATGGCCAAAATAAACAGCACTGAGTATGTGACACATTCAGCGACGTGTATTTAAAGCTCATTTTATTTTCTTCCTAGCTCTTGCTCAGCTTGCCTTCAGCTTGCAGCCTTCAGTCACTAATTCGATTGCTCTGTTTCTATTTAAAGCTTGCAGTGCTAATACTGTTTAAGATAAATCAAAATTAGAGCCAGGCTGACACCCCCTGCTGTTCATTGTGTCCAGAATTGCGAGACACAAAGCACGTCAGTCTCAGCCCTTTCCCTACACTCCCCAGCCTTCTTTCCGCCAGACTGTTTCATAAATGTGGATTTGTCCTGAATTGACAGGGATGATAATCAATGCTGGCAAAGAACAACTAAGGTTCTACGTAATAAATAAATGGGGAAAAAAAAGGCAATCTGACCTTAGGGAAAAAAAAAAAAGAAAGTATATTTAGATGCTACAGCTGAAGCTTTGTTAGCCTGTATTTGACAGTCAGATCTTACTCAGGTACCACCTAATATGAGCTGCACAAGTGCAAGTCCTCTCGGCTCCTAGATGAAGCCATTTCATCTGCACTAACGGGTGACGGAGCGGCTGTCCCGGAGCTCCTCAGCCTTTCTGCCTCAGCTAGAGAGAAGGAGAAGAGAGATGTTTAGATGAATGCTCTCGAGGGCAGAGAAGGAGTTTTAGGACAACATAGAGCTGAAGGACAAGGCCTGTGCATCAGCAGAGCAGCACCCACTGCCCCACAGCCAAGGCAGGGAGCAGGCTGGGCAGCTCCCTATGGATGGGGGTCATTGGGTTGTCCTCCAGGTAGCCTGTCCCATCTCCTCAGTGCCCTGACATGCTGTTTCATACAGCAAGGGCTCTCCTGACGCAGCATTTTAGGGACCTTTCATAGGAAACCTCCATCCGCCAGCTGAGCATCTCTTCCTCTTTGGCATAAGCTGTTTCTTCCTTGCAAAAAGAGGAAGGAAAACGTTGTCCGGCCACAGTCACCGCTATTCTGTGTTGTTAATGCTGGACAAAAACACCAACATGAAATTAAGGTTGCCAAAGGAAGGGCACAAGCTGCATGAGCCCTGCACCACACGCCTTGTACGTGTGCCCTGGCCCTTCCAGAAACACTTCCCACATCTCAGATCATCCACAGAAGGGAAATGCAACCTTTCATGCACATGTGCACACCCCTGCATCGATGAATGACTTGCTAGGGCCACAATGCATTTAATGCAGTATCAAAAAACACCCTGCTGAACCTCCTGATTAAACCAACACCCAGGACAGGTATTAAAAAGAGCAGTTGTGTCAAGAGGAGTCATTTCCTGCAGCCTCTATTAAAGCTGAGAAGCTAAAAAGAAACCCCTCAAGGACTACCTGTCTTCCCCAAGAGTACACCAACGACGATGACCAAAACTGCACATTCTCCTTCTCACAAGACTACAGTGTTTCTGATAAAGCTTCCAGAAAACACTGTGTTGCTCTGGGGTCAGTGCCAGCGGGAAAGGTAAAAGTTGAGATGCCTGCAGCTTTACCCACAGTGACCTGGTGGGGACTGGATACTAGATATGTGCAACGTAATTACTCAAAGCACTATTCTTCTTTGTGCAAACCCAAATTAATACTCCAAGGACCTGAAAAACCCATTATGAAATCCTTAAAAAGTTCTAAAAAAAGTACTATGAATAAGAATTTTTCATCATTCTTCACGGAACAGCAGCTGTACACGAGCACAGCGCTAGACCTGGCTGCTTCTGCTCATTTGCTGAAATGTTTACAGCTGGATATGAAAGCAAAACCCATTTCCTAGTTCCAAGGAGAATGCTGAGGAAAAGGAGAGAAGGCAAGGAGAGTTTACGGCTAGAAATTTTGCATCTAGCTAAAAAAATAAGCAATTTTTGCAAGTGGAAATACTAGTGCTAGGGGAGAAGGGCCACCAAAGAGCACGGATATAAAATACCTCAGCAAATCAGAGGAGCAGCAGCAGCAACGAGGCACAAGCCTGTTCCTGTTGGGAAATAAACAGCAAAACCACTTCTCTGGGTGATCAAAAGGGTCCAGTGCTGTTGTATTTCTGGAATTAAATGTTTATTTAAATACGTGGATGACTTTCATTGTTACAAGGTCAATATTTGCTTTCAAATGGAAGCACTTTATTTGGTTGAATTCTGTCTCCAGAAATGAACGGGCAACACCAGAACCTTGTACATTGGCAATGAAATCACAACACTGAGATGCCACCAAAATCTAAAGTTCAGTGCTCAAACACACATACACACACATATACAAATAAAAAAAGTGCTCGACATCATCATGTTAAAATAGAATTTGGCTTCTTTTAGGTCTTTTGACACTTCAGGCAGGAAAACAGAAACAAAGAACAATAGGCATCAAACTAAATGAACTTCTGAAAAATACTCAGCATTAAACACAACTTTCAGTATCAGTAAATATGTTTCTTCTCTATTTACAGATGTTAAGAAAGGGCATTAGAGACTTTTGCTGGGGACAAGATTTCATTTTGTAGAATACATAGTCCACACTTTTGGGAGAGATTAGTAGAGTTTTTATAAACCAGTCACATATTTAGTCCTTTAGATTTCATAAAAGGTAAATTCTACAAAAATTACCCCTTCTTTACCCTGAATAAAGGCAGCAGAATAAAGATGTATAGGCCACAATTTGCGACTGTTGCTATTTTTTTTTTTGTAATAGGTTGTAAGATCCTGGCTTTTAAGAACTAGTTACTAAGTTTATAAAAACTCCATACATCATCTTTTAATAAAACTCTTTTGAAAAAAAATCAGTCGGCTAAAGCTAATGCTCTTTCTAAAGCGCTATGTAGCAACACAGACATTGCAATTGTTCAAATGTTCCACAGAGGCTGACAATAATATACTGTCCACCTAGATTAAATATATAAAAGCAAACTTTTCAATCTAATCTTTACACAGATGGCACAAGAATAGGTGAAAACAAATCATTTCAGCTGCGGATTCAACAGTGCATGAGACACGAGAGAATAAAAATACTGCAGCTAAAAGGATTCCGAAGGTTTTTGCGCACCTGGGAACTGCTTGGCCATTCAGATCCCCTGGCAGACACGTGTTGGCTTCGTAGGCAACGGAGCCTTTGCAGAGCCTTACAAACAAGAGGTTTGCACACAGCTACAGGTGCCAGCCGTGTAAATCGCACTCACGTTCTGCTCTCAGAGGCTCGTGGATCTGAAGAGCCAAGTGAAGGCGGTGGCAGCAGGGCTGGGGCTGGTGGTTCAGGTGATGAGGATCCTTCTGACCCCGGTTACACTGCAGCTGAACGGCCTCAGGGTTGGCATCGGCTGTACGGGCTCCCCGGTCACTTCCATGAGGTTAAAATAAAAGCCAAACAAAGCACGTTTTGCCCGCTGATGCTTGCAGGTATTAAGCACCATCGTGTAACGGCTACAGTTGTGAACAGCAGGAAGGAGGGCCCTTGTTATCAAAAATAAAACTTGGCGTTTTGAAGGGAGAGAAAGGGACAACGTTACGAACGCAACATGTAACTTGAATCAAAACTAACTTCATCCTGAGTGAGGAAGCCCAAAGCAATC